GGGGGGGGGTGGTTGAAAAGAAGTGCGGGGAGTGGATCGAGAGCGACCGCGAGCGGATGGGACGAAGAATGACAAAGACGAGATGAGGGAGTGAGATGATCGAGAGGGGCCGAGAGGAGAAAAGAATGGATGATGAAGAGGAGAAGCGAAGAAATGAATGCTTGAAGGCGAATGGGATTATGGAAAGTGGGCTTGTCGAGGAATTTGAGGATATTTGAGCAAGGCTTGAAAGCTTGAAATGAGGTGCGAGCAAAAGAGACGCCCCGACGAGCGACGAGGCCGACGAGAATCAAAGGTATGAACGTGCGCGTGAGCGTGGCGTTGGCGTTGCGGCCGTTGCGGCCGTTGCGGACGTTGTGGGCTATGGAAGCGACTTGTTTCGAGTACACACAGATGCTGGATCCCCTCTTGCCTCTTAACGCGGGAGCACTAGTCTTCGACAAGAGGCAGCCGCTCCAAACGAGGTCGACGGTGCAAAGGGCGTGATGCGAGGAGGCGCTGGGAGAGCCGAAGAGGGGAGAGGCGACAGGCGCAAAGGGCGCGCGAAGGGCGTGAGGAGACCGCGAGCGACACACAGGCAATCGAGGGGGAGCTAAAGAGATGACGGGCGCTTTGGCGCAAGGGTGAAGGGGCTTTCAACGGCGGCGGCGGCGGTTTGTGTAGAGGAGAGACGCGCAGAAGTGACTGCTCTGCTCTATTTGCCAGTTGCTAGTTGCAAGCTGGGAGCTGGGAGCTGCCAAGGGATGAGTAGTCGGAGGCCGAGGCGCCGAGGGTTACCGCGTCCTTGTTGCTGGTGGTGTGTGGGCAGACGGCATTATCGCCCATTTCTATTGACGCCACGCGTGGATTGTATTGGACATTAGGATACGATGTTAATGAATGGGATCCGAAAAGTTGGGTCTGGGCCGGCACGTTTACCAAACTCTTTTCGAAGGGGCGAGGCCCTTGGACCCCGATTGTTTCAGTTGAGCACACTCTGCACGCCTCTGACACAGCGCCATTCCCTTGCTCCACTGTCTCTCCTCCGATCCTCCCTCCGGCCTCCAGCTCCTCTCCGGCTCTCCTCTTAGAACCTTCTGCTGATCTGCTGCTCGCTCCGTGAGGTTGCCCTTGCTAGGCCTGTCAGCCTTGGTGTGATTCCCCTTCTCACAAGATGCATGCCATAAACCCGACTCCGTTCCGCGCCCTACCGGTAAGACTCGTAATGTGGCGGCCCGAGGCGGCATGCACGAGCCGGTCGGTCCAGGCACATCCTACCCTAGAAGGCACCACGCGATCGCCACGCGCAATTGGTTCCTTCTCGACGCGTCGCTTCTCTTTTCTTTTCCTTTCTTTTCGCAAACTTCCCCGCAAACCCCGCAAACCCCACATACCCCACGTTTCCACTTACCCCACACTTGACCACGGTTACGTCACTCGGTGGCCAACGATCCAACCCAGGCATGCATGCAGTCGGCGGAATCGAGTAAACAACCACCATATCATCGTTGGCCTTGACCTCATCACCACACTTCATCAGCTCATCAGCCGCATCTCAATCATGGCAACTCGATGGAACCCAGATAACCCCACTCCCACCCCGTTCACTCCAACACAGAGCATTAGAGGACGCAATGATGCTTCCACCCCTACACCCTCCCGCCGCACCAACAGCATCCACCTTCCCTCAACAGCCTACGTGATCCCACCCGTCTCCCGTCACACCCACAATCAAGAGCAAGCCCGGGCGCCACACACCAACCTCGGCTTCTGTGAGACCAAGCAGACCGCCTTCGAGTGGCCAGTCAAGAATGTGCGAGAGCTCAAGATCCAGCTCGAGAAGGAGGCTGCACGCGGCCGCGGGGAAGACGCACCAGAGGACGACGAGCGGCATGAGATTCTCGCCGGAGACGAAACGTACTTTGACGACCTGTCGTACAAGCTCCATCTCGGTGCGCGCTTGATGCTTGCGGGCCAGCTACGGGACTGACGTGGCAGAGCGGGCACCAGACACGATCGACGAATACTCGGACGGTGAAGGGGTGCAGGAACCGCGGATCATCCTCGCAATCATCGCCACCTGGGCCAAGTACTCGGACATCCCCGCCGACGGTCTCTTCGCTCGCGAGGTCTTTGTGGGTCTAAAGCACTTTGAGCTGCCGGGCGAGCGCATGCTTGGTGAGCCCGAGTGGCTGTGGAGCCAGTCTGCTATCGCAACCTTTTCCAAGCGGCAGGAGTACCACGAAGTGGTGTTGCCGCCACTCAGTGTGCTTCTTGACGATCCGGGAGTGCTGGAGCGTGACTCGTTCAGCATCCGCATCGTCGTCAAGCATGCCTCAGAGGTCGGTCTTCCGCCCCTTGTGCACAGCGACCAGCAGTTCGTTTCCCGCCGTGTTACACGGATGAATGCCGCCCTTCTCGACTCCCAGCGCACAGGTGACGTCCGTTTTATTTGTCTCGAGCACCAGGACGGCCCTGCCTCGGCCGACTACGAGGCGGTGGCGCGCCGCCGCATAGTTTACGCGCACTGGGAGATGCTTGTGCACGCCGAGTACTTCAAAGCGACTTTGGCTGGCGGGTTCTCAGAAGCCTCCGACGCGACCATGACGACCCTGGTCGTTGACGACGCCGCTTTCAATACGGTGTACTGGGTCCTGAGGTGGCTTTACACGGACGAGATCCTGTTCACATCGACGGACAGTGTGAGAGCCGTCATGAGTCAGGTGAGGGTCGACCGCACAGCCGCGCGCCGCCTACTGAGCTCGGAAAACTGGGACTTTGTGCCTCTGGAGGAGGAAGACGACATCGAGGCCCGCACGGTCCGCAGCGTCTCCAGCGTTGGCACTGCACCTTCAGCCGGGCGCCGGTCACCCCGCCACGGGCCCGTGCCCTCGGCCAAGTCTGAGGGAAGCGCCTCCAGACGACCCTCCGCCGCCTCATCCTCGACCAGCACTCAGGCCACACCACGTCCTGGTATAAGCCGCACCAAGTCCTCCTCTCCTGTTTCGACCGTACCTCGTATCGCAAGTACTCCGCGCAAGCCCGCCCTTCCTGCCCTGGGCAAGGCGGCCGCCAAACTGCCTTCCACCGCCCCAACTTCCCCTGCAGCCGTGGGCCGCTCACCTTATCCGAGCGGGGCACCTCGCCGGCCCCCACCTCCAGCGGAGCCACACAAGCATCCCACCGTGCCGCCCACACCGCCGTCCCCACTCGCCGTCTTTTTCCTTGCCCACCGCTACGGCCTGGACGAGTTGCAAGCGCTGGCGCGCGACGCCCTGCTGCGCCAGCTCACGCCGAGCTCGTGCGTCGCCGCCCTCCTGGCCACATTCTCGTTCTTCGAGCTGCACCAGGCGATCATGGACTATGTGGTGAGTACCATCTCGTATCAGCTGACGCAGATCGACCACTGGGCTGAGGTTTGCGCATCGCCCGAGCTCGAGCGTTGCTACCAGGAGGTGTCGGCCGGGGTGTATGTTGCTGGTGTGGTGCCGCTGACATCAGGTGGGGCGAGAACGACGGCGGCCAAGTTCTTCTGGGCCTTACCCGCCGCCTGACGGGAGTGTAAACTGGCATGCTTGATTTAGTGTGGCGTACTGTAATGTCGTGAACACATGTGCCTGTGATGTACGACGCACGCTATCACACAGGCGTCGCACGGTGTCTGATGACGAGTACACGCCCAGTCGACGCGGCCACGAAGGCTTCAGGACGGATCGAAACAAAAGGCAGAAGTGCGGGATAGGCTGGCGCATTCCTCGGGAGCGCAACATGAGCATGTGAACGAGTTGCTGCAGGATGTCGGACCATCGTCAGTGTTCTTCACGCGTATCATGACACGTTCGCAAGGCCGCACGTGGTATGTAGTCCATAGTGGAGCTACTCCATCATGTTCAGACGAGCAGCTGACTCTTCGTCATCAAAGCAGTTCCGCACCCGCCACATCAGCCTGAAACATCCATAATGAAGTGTTGGGTGATGCAGGGCCGCTAATAAGCCGGCGGGACACGTTCCGCGGCATGCATCGACCCGCCGACAACTATCCGTCCTGAATGCTCAGAATAGGCCTGGAGGGACTCTGCAAGTGGCTGCGACGTGGTCCGATCTCGCTGTACTGGCCCGGGATGTGGCCAGCGTCTCGAGCGGCAGCGCGGGAATCGCAACTGCGGGCCGATTTTCCGACTGTCCTCGACGACGCATTGTGGCGCATGAAACGGCGCTCTAGGCTCTGAAACGGCCTGGGAGTTGGATTACAGCGCAGCACACGGGTTCCTCGATAGCTGGCTGGCTGGCGGTGCGTGAAACACGATGATCTCGACGACTGTACAAGGTTCGCGGCCGCGTGGCGTGACTGTACCTGCGGGCCGGAGGGGAGGTGTACCTGTTGCGAACGACTGCACCGTACATGCACGAGGTCGCCAGCCAGCGTGCGAGCAAGGATGTACGCAGCACAAAGATGCCGAACGCACACGCAAACTCACACTGCCCACTGCCACGACACTGGCTTGGCACAAGGATCGTCCGATTATTGCACGGCAACGACACCGGAATCCAGCCCCATACCGCAGTCCTCGACGACCGTAATCTCGGCTGGAGACGGCTCGTGCCTACGTGCGCGGATGCATGATAGTCTGGTGTGAGCCAAACCTTGTCGGTCGTGTCACTTGGTGTGTGGCGCCATCGTCCATCCTCGCCACTCGTCTCCGCCACAGCCTAGTAATACATACATCATTGTCCTTGTATCTATTCTATGAGCGAACCTGGCGCCGGCCGCAGGCCGGTGAGAAAGTGAAATGTGAGATGGAGAGAAGATGGAGAGAACTACTGCGGAGGCGGTGTGGGTGCTTCCTCGCCCTCGTCGGCGCGGCGCTCGCGGCCGACGTTGCCCAGCACCTCGAGCAGGACTTTGACTTGGCGCTCGAGCGCCGACTTTTCTGCCCGCAGCGCTACGACCTCGTCTTCGAGGTGTTCTGGCGTCAGCGGGGCCGGGGGACACCTCACTGGCATGGGACTCGAGCTCGTTCTCGCGCTGTTTCTTGCGGAGGCGGAAGCGAGCGCTCGCCTCGGTATTGCGCTGGCGCTTGAGTTCGCGGCCGCCCGACGGCTGCTTCCCCGCCTCGGGGGAGGCGGAGAAGAACGCGGGCGCCGGCGTGAACGGGGTCGGGAAGGCGGCCGCGGGCGGCAGCGTCGGCGTGACTTGCGGCGTGGCGGGTGCGCCGGACGACGGCGCCGGCGTCGCGTACGCCGCGAGGAAGGACTCGAGCGTGCGTGGGCACTCGCTCTCCGAGCGCGCACCGTCAAACTTCATGTCCGCCATGGAGCCGTCGAAGAGCTGCCAGAAGGCATCTTCGTCCTCGGGAAAGATGGCCGCCGGGGACTGGTCGTACGAAACGGGGGGGCTGATCATGTCGGCAGGTAGCGCGGTGGCAGTGGCGAGGCGCGGGGTGACGTCCAAGGCAGGCTGGGCCGGTTGCTCAACAACGGTCGGCGAATGTGGGCGGTGAATGAACGGCGTCGAGGTGGATGAGACGGCGAATGAATGTGGACACCAAGTTGCGAAGAGATGACAAGTGGGCCGGTATTGTACGATCCTCGACAGCCATGTTACAACAGATATGCTGTCCAAGTATAGCTGCGTCGAGCCGAGAGATGAGCTCGAGCTCAGCTCGAGGTGAACAGCAACGTCGAGGAATGCCCTGACCCTGGTGACTTGGCCTGGTGTCTGTGGCGTGGTGGTGGCCGGGTGATGGTGCACAGGGTACGCCACTCTCGATAAGGCCAGGGGCTACGGCATGATTGCAGCGGGAATCAGGATGCGCGCACGCAACGCAGGGGGGCAATCGGTCACTACAGTGTTCGTGGGAACTCGCCACGGGCGGGCCAGACGTCATGGTGGGCGGAACGGGGCCGGATGAGGCTGGTTCGATGACTGCTGGCATCTGGTCAAGCGTTTTGGTGCGCGACAGGGGACTCGAGCCAGCAGGCAGGAGATCAGGAGAACGTTCCAAGATCCAGCAGTGTATCAGCAGCGCCGAGGGTGGACTATAGTTCAGGAGCACAGTGTCAGTCAGCAGCGGTCACTGCGTCAGTAGAGGTCAGCAGAGAGCCTAGGTCAGTGGGGCCGCTCGCTGCGGCCCAGGCACGTGGGCAAGGATGCAGAATGAGTCAAGGCGGACCGAGGATGTGAGGATAGCTTGAGGCATGCGGAGGCACACGATCAGGCAGAGAAAAAAACAATCGTCCCAGCGTTTCAGGCAGCCATCGCGTAAGATCTATCGCTGCCGTGCGCTTAATGCAATCCCGTTCCGTGGTTTCAGCATTGTCAGACCTTGGAGTCAGGGCTCGGCTGGAATCGTGCCCATGCGTTCCTGTGCGTGCCAAAGACCCCCTGTTCCTCCATACCTGCCACGCTGCCAACGTCGACGAACGACGTGAGAGTGAGACATCTCGCATGCTCGCAGGACGATACCGACGACCCTCATCTCGCTGCACGGGATCTCGCTGTGTGACACTGTCACCGAACCTCGTCGAAGCCTGTTTCGGAAGGGGCCTGGCTGCCGGCAACGGGTCCGCTAGCCAAAACTCTGTTGCCCCGCGGCCACCACACTCTGGCAATGGTATCCACCCATCGTACCACCCATCGAGGTTCCCGAACACGCGAGGTACCAGCCCCACCGTATGCCGGCAGGTCAGCCGCCACGGGAATCCGCAACCGAGGAACGTTATGGCGAAGGGAGGGCCGGCTGTCTGGTACGGTGGGATGTTTCGCGCGCCGATGTGCGCGCGCTATATTCCCTCTCGTCACGAGATCTCGCAGCGTCATGTAATACCGCTGCGTGGCCATGTGGTTTTGCGGTAGACACTGGATTCTCTCGTTAGAAGTGTTCCTATGCCATCATCCGCCCGATGTCCGCTGCATCTCGGCCTGTGATGGCTGTGATCTCCGCTTCATACGCTGTAGCCGAAATGTATCGGCCGAAGGATGACGAGAGTCTTAGACCTGCACTTGACTCCACAAGAGTTCCTCGCAACGTGCTCGCTCCTTTTGTGTTTGTCGCCAAGTCATCTGCATGCTTGCGAGGGACTCCGCTGCAAGGGCTCGCTGTGCTCGCCAACTTCACGTGGGCTGGCGATGCACAGCGCAGTGCGGGATCCCTCCCGTGTTTGTAGAGCCGGAACCGAGCCTAAGCGCGTGCGGGACTGGGTTCCCCTGCCGGCAAGCGAGCGAGGATACAGCAGTGGATGATCACGGCGCTCCTGCAGGAGCAGGGATGCATAAGTGGAGTAGCCGATCGTGCAGGTCGAATGCTCCGAAATCGGGTGGGAAATGCGGAGTCGGGGAGAGAGCAGCAGCGGTAGATAAGCGAAGAGGCAAGAGGCTGGAGGATGAGAGGATGGTTGATGGTACGACTGAGAATGAGAGATGTCTGCTGAGCTCGAGAGGGGCATGTATGGGCCTGCGGCTACGAGATTGTTTGTCGTTCCTGAGTTACACCCGCTTCATGCCGCTCATTCCGGACGAGCCGAGGCACAGCCACGTGGGTGTGGACTGAGGCTGATCTCCGTGGTGTCCACGTGACACGGAGACTTCTGAAATCTCCGCACTCCTGAGAGCCAAAACACAAACGTTTCTACCTCTGAACCCATCGGCGACTTGACGGGGATGGGAGGCTGAACCACGTGGGCGCAGCCGGCGGGAAGTCCGACAGCAGGTCCGAGCGACCAACCAGCGTCGGCTTACCCCACACTGTCGTCACTTTTACCCCACATCCCCTTGCAATGTCAAGTCTTGGGGCCATGTCATCTCCCAGCTCCGCCATCCGTCCCGCGTGGGGGACGCCGCATCACAACAAATCTTACATCTCTCACCCATCTCCCCCGCGCCAGCATGTTTTCCCTCCGCGCCGGTCCCAGTCGCATTGCTTTCTGTTCACGGTCATTACGCCCGCCATCGCACGCGTCATGGCTCCGCGGAATCCACGACACGGTCCGAGGCGCGACGCCCGATGGCAGTGGGTCGTGCAAAGGTTGGCGCTGACGCTAGCGCCGTATAAGGTCACGCTGAAAAGCCCCAAAGTTGTGGGCATTCACACGTCGCGCGGCGACCGGCCGTGAGTGCTCCTTGATGAATGGTCATGCACGGATAGCCCCCGAGGGCGTGATGGAGGAGCGCGCAACAACGGCGATCACGCGCCCGCTCGAGGCACCACTGATCCCAGATACCAAGAGGACGCGACTGCAGTTTGCGCCATTGACATCGACCGCAGGGAACTGCTCGACTCGCTGCCGCGCGGGACACAGTGGTATGGCGGCTCGGAACCCGGTGCGGAAGAGGTCACATTCGTGGGCATCTTTGACGGGTTAGTCACCGCAAGTGGGGCACTATGAGAAGGGCGGAGCGAAGACGGGGTGTGCGTGTGTGTGTGGGAGAGGGGGTGTTGAAGCGAGGAGGGCGGCGAGGAGGGGCTCAGCCGAGAGTTCGAGACGCGAGGCTCGAGTGACAGGTCGGGGGACAGCCGAACAAGGATTCGCGACGGAGCGGTGTTGGAGAGACGCGAGAGACAACGAGAACCGCGACGCTGACCCAAGCCACGGCGGACCTTATGTGTCCCAGTTTTTACGCGATAATCTCGCCGGCATCATCGAATCCGTCACGCCCGACGACATCCCAGACGCTGTCCAAGCTACAGAGGATTTGGGCGGCTACTTCCGCCGCTGGAGGGGCGGCGCGCTGTCCCGTTGGACGAAGTGGGCGTCCGAGCCGGCCGACAAGGAGAAGGACCGATTGACCATTGACGAACGATTGACACTCGCATACTTGAAGGTGGGTGCTGTCGTGCTGGGAGGCGCCAGAGCCCGGCGGGCCTGTGCAAGCCGCAACAGCTCACACTAGGCTGACCATCGCGTCCACGCGGAAACGAAGAATGGCGCTCAGCACTGTGGCTCAACGGCCTCAGTAGTCTTGATCCAGAGCCTCGACAAGCCGTCACAGCCGCATTTTGCGAGTCAAAAGCTGCACCTCACTATTGCCCAGGTCGGGTGAGTCAAACAACTGCGAGGAGCCAAGGGAACCCTACTCTTGTTATCGAGCTGCATCCGGCGCCGCCCGACTCCCAGGTCACGCTGACACCAGTGACACCCGCGTGCTCCTATGCGACACTGCTCTCGGAGAAGTCTGGGCACTTACAGACCGGCACCACGCCGAAGCGCGCGTTGAGGCCGATAGGTTGCGTCGAATGGGTACGGACAAGCTCATCAGCGACTCGTTCGGGGAGACGCGGTGGATGGGTGCCATCGAGAATACACGAGGGTGAGTAAACGACCCCTTTACATCTAACCGCAGCTTTGGTGACTTTGAGTGGAAGTCGTCCGGCGTTACCGTCGAGCCAGAAGTGACCCATCGCGTCGTCAACGGTAGTGACTACGCTTACCTCGTGTTTGTGACGGACGGCCTCACGTCACTGTTGTCAGACCAGGAGCTTGTGGACCTTGCGCGCCGGTCGGCCGACCCTACGAGGGCGGCTAAGACGATCGTGCATTTCGGCGAAGACCTAGGCGCGCAGGACAACTGCACGTGTATTGTTGTTCCATTGGCTGGTTGGGGCAACATTGGCGGAGAGGACACAACGGAGACGCGCCGCGAGTACCGCCGCTCCCAGGCCAGCCGCCTCAACACGCGCATGCAGCGCATGTAGACTTTGCTCTTGTAGCATACACATAGTGCTTTGATCCCAATACTTGCATCGACGGTGCATAAATCGTGCTATCCTCGCACCGCATCGCACATCTCGGCCGGTGGAGGTGGAACGGAGGCTGATTGACCCGAAACGTCACTGCTGGCTGAGCGTCACGTCCGACCATCGAGCAATCCAGTGATTCTCAACTCGCACTCCATCAACACCATGGACGAGGAGGAGAACTTTGCCCGCCTGCTCGCTCAGTCCACTCCCGCGCCCCGGCCAACGCTCTACACCGAGTCGGATCCATGGGCAAACCCCTTTGGCGGCGATGATCTCTCGGCCGGCTGGGGCGCCCCTGCGGCCCCGGCACGCGCCTCGCCACCGCCGCAGAACCTCTACGACACAGGCTTCGGCGGCGGTCTGCCCGACCCGCCGTCGGTGATCCACGCCCGTGAGCGAGAAGAGCTCGCCGCCTTCGGAGGGTTCGGCGAGGATCCTACATCCAACCCGTTTGGCTCGCCACGCACGAGCCCGCGCAAGTCGTCCCAGCTTTCCCAGTCTTCCCAACCTTCTTCGCCCTCCGCTGCGCGCCGGTCAGCGTCGTCGTCGCCAGAGGCCGCGCGTCAGCGCACCCTCCCCGCCGGGCTGATTGACGAGGACCTGCTGGCGGAGAACGACCCTGAAGCCAGCCTCAAGCGCGCATTCGTCAAGCACGAGGAGAAGGAAGTGAAGGTGGTGCCGCCTGCACCAGACAAGAAGGCACCCTACGTCTTCACGCCGTCGAAGGAGCCCGAGCGCGAGCGCAAACCTGAGGCCAAGGCGGCCAGAGCCGCTGCTGCCGCGTCCGGGAGCCTGCCGTTGCCCGAGAGCAGTGGGCCGACACCCACACCGTCGCGGCCCGACACGCCAGCCGCGCCCGGAACGGCGGGAGCGGCTCCAGGCGACCGCGTGTCTGTGAGTCCGCTTGATGCGCCTGGCGAGCCGGACTACGGCTTCCGCGCGCTGTCCATCGGAGCCAGTGCGAATGGGGCGTCGCCGACGGCGGCCGCAAGATTCGGAGGGCGCGGATGGGGCGCAGTCGACGACGAGCCGCTGAGCAGCAGCGGGGATCCGTGGAACGAGGGTGGAGGTGGATGGGGCGAGCCAGGGCCGCTGGCCACCCAGTCCTCCACGGCGTCCATCAACGATGCTGAGCCTGACGAGGAGCCGGAGGCGACGCCGGTGTCGCCGCGCGACGGCACCGCATCCCCGCGCCGTCCTAAGATTCTCAGCACGCCCATGTTCCAAATCACGGTCAGCGACCCCACCAAGATCGGGGACCCGGTGCGAGGACATGTCGTGTACACGGTGCGCACGAAGACGACCTCGCCGCACTACCGTCGCGGCGACTTCTCCGTGCTGCGTCGCTTCTCTGACTTCCTCTGGCTGTACGAGCAGCTCACGGCGAACAACCCAGGCGTCATCGTCCCACCAGTGCCGGACAAGCACGCATTTGGCCGCTTTCAGGAGCAGTTCATCGAGACGCGTCGTGCGGCACTACAGCGCTGCCTCACGAAAATCACAGCGCACCCCATACTCCAGCTGGACCCAGACCTCCGTCTGTTCCTTGAGAGCGACAGCTTCGCTTCTGACATCAAGAACCGTCGCGTGGCACCAGAGACGTCCACGTCCTCCGGCGGGCTGCTGAGCTCATGGACGGGGCCGCGGTACGTCGAGCAGGACGAGTGGTTCGACCAGCGTAAAGCGTATTTGGACCACCTGGAGGGACACCTGAAGAGCCTCTCGAAGAGCCTGGACATCGCGAGCAAGGCGCGCCTCGACATGGCGGCGGCTGTAGGCGATGTCGCTGAGGCTGCACAGACGCTCGCAGACTCCGAGCTGGGCGCGGCGATGTGTGCCGCGCTCGGCCGGCTCGCGGACCTGGCGCGGCGCGAGAAGAGCGCGGGCGAGGCACAAGCGACGGCGGATGTCTCGCAGCTGTTGAACCTGTCGGACGAGTATGTCCGATTCATCGGGAGCGTGCGCCTGGCGTTCGCAAGTCGCGTGCGCGCGTATCATGCCTGGCAGGCGGCGTTGAAGGAGGTGACACGCGTGCGACAGGTGCGCGACAAGGCGCGGCTGCAGGGCCGCCCGGCTGGCCCGGGAGGTATTTCGATGGCCGAGCAGGTCGAGGTGAGCCGAGTTGTTTGACGTAGCTGACACCAGGCGGAGCGGCGGATGACAGAGACGAGCAACGACTTCGAGGCGCAGAGCAAGCTCGTCAAGGCCGAGTTTGCGCGCTTCGAGCGCGAGCGCGTCGACGAGTTCCGCCGCACACTGAGCGCGAACCTCGACGGGCAGATTGCGCGGCAGCGCGACCTCGTCACCGCGTGGGAGGACTACCATGCCATGCTGCTCAAGATGGTGCAGCGCTCGCAGGCACAGCAGCAGCAGCAGCAAGGGGCATAGGATGGCGTGGCATCCGGCGTCAGCGGCTGAGGGAGAGCGGCATGTGCTGAGGGCTGAGGGCACGAGATCGGTACGGAGCACGAGGCGCCGTCTGTGCGCTAGACGTAGAAGTAATGCATTGATGATATATCACGCGACCTGCGGCCTGTGGGCTGCAAGAAGGTTCGTCGGATTCTGCGTGCTAAAGTCAGATGCCAGAAACTTACTACCACAATTCAGGATGAGCGGAGGCGGCCATGACGTTGATCGCCCAGGCACGCCATCAGGCTCCAGCCATCCAGGCTAACTAAGCCCACTCTAATCTAGCGGCACACTTACTCGCATGCACTGTAAATGCTCAGCGGTCCGAGCAGATGTGTTCTGAGACAATATAATGCACAAACAGGATGTATGCAGATGTTGACAGAGGCCGATCTCGCGGACCGACGTTAGGGTGGAGGAGACTGGCCGGGGCACGCACGTGCTTGGCAACATAACTCGGCCACCTGCTTGAGATCAATTTACGTTTCTCTCACTCTTCAATCGCATACGATGGCCGACGAGGTGAGTCCGAGCCATGCCGGCGTCGAGTTTTACATCGGCGGCGACAGCGTACGCGCTTCAGCTGTGCATGCCGCCCGCGACTGATCTACGACTACGGGTGGACCGCGGCCTCGTCGTTCCGACGAGCTAACACCAGACAACGCCCCTCAACCCCAGCGGCAGCTCGTCCAGCGCCGGCCCATCCACCGGCACGCCGAAGGGCGAGTCGTCAATGGCGCGCGTGCTCAACGACGTCTCGGAGAACTTCTTCCAGCCGTACGTACGGCTGCCCAACATGGGCCATCGTGGACTGGCTGACTCCAGCTTCTCGCAGGGCGCACTAAAGCTTCTTCCCGCGCGCGGAGAAGGAATCCGGGCGAAGAGCAAGCGTGGGGACCGTCTTCCGGACTCGTGAGTGCTGGCCGGATGGGCAGTGGATGGCCATGGCCGAGCAGAACAGGCGAGCTGACGGCAGCGAGGAGCGCCCGCTGCTCACCGACTACCACTCGATCAACGACCCCACGATCCGCGTACGCGTACCCAGTGCGTATCCGACTGTCTTGTAGTTCCCCCTGACAGACAGAGAAGAAGGCGACGCCCGTAAAGGTCGAGCCCAAGGTCTGGTTCGCGAACGAGCGCACATACATCGCCTACCTCTCAATGGGTGTGCTGCTCTCCACGATCGCAACCGGCCTCCTCTTCGGCGCCAAGGACCACCCCGCACGGTGGTTCGCCCTCGGCTACGCCCTCATGTGAGTTGCTTCCTGAGCCTGGAGCGCTGCTCACCCCAGTTCGGCCGCCACCCTCATCTACGGCTATGTGCTGTACCAGAAGCGCCTGACGATGATCGCCGCCCGCTACCCCGGCAGCTTTGACCAGCTCGTGGGCCCGCTGCTTATCTGCGGCTCGCTGTTTATCGTCATCCTGGCCAACTTCGTCTTCCGACTCGTCGAGGCGCGCAAGGTGCACGAGCCGCACGGCACCGACGCCAGCCCGCTGTCGTTTGCGTATGCGTGGCGCGTTGCGGGCGAGAAGAGCACGTGGCTCAACTAGGCAGCGGAGGATGTGGGGGCTAGGCGAGCTCTAGCCTCGGGAGGGAGCAGGCTGCGCGCAGCCTGATGGACGGTGCGGGCGATATAGCCCGGTAAGCTAATTCATGCATTTGTGAGCTGTGCTTTGGAATGCGTGGACTGCCCGTGAGAGATGTGTGCTGGAAAGGAATCACAAGGTCATCACAAGATTGTGGATCGAGAGTTCTACATGCAACTACGGGAATGTCCACTGATCAATCACCCACCTTCTCATGCCAGATGTCATGGTTTCTGGCTAGACAGTCCCAAGCGGCCAGCCGTGTGACTTGCCGACTCCAAAGTGTACGCTGGGCATTCTGCGAACGGGAGGGCATTGCTCGCCCGATCGGTCAGTTGCTATCGTTCTCCGGTGAATCCGGTTCGATGTTCACAGCGTCAACCCAAATGGAAGGAGTATCAGCAACAGCGACATGAAATGAGATGTATGCAATGCTCCTCTAATCTATCTCCTATTGCCCTCCTCCCCTCCCTCGCTCTACGCCCCCCGCTTGCGCGGCCTAAACGCCCTCCCGACGCCCGTCACCCCCGCCTCGCCCACGCCCTCCTCGCTCACGCCGCTCTCGCGCAGCCGCCGCCGCGTGTCCTCCTCCGCGAGCTTGCGCAGCGTCTCGGGATCCGTGCTGAGCGCATCGACTTTGGCGCGCGGCGGGACGATGGGCTCGCGCTTCTCGGCATCCAATGGCGTCTCTTCCCGAGTCTCAGGCGCTGCAAGGCTCGCTCGAGCCGCAGCGGCCTCCGCGCGCCCGGCGAGTTCCGCGTGCGCCCGCCCGGCCTGCCCGGCCCCCGCTGCCTGCGCCCCCGCAGCCAAGTCGACCGCGACGGGCGCGCTGCCCTTCGGCGGCAACTTCTCGCGCGGCGCGGGCGGATACGCGAACTTGGCACTGGCATGCGGCGTGCCGCCTGCGCTCGCGAACGTCCCCTCCTCTTCCATAGCGCCTCCGAGCGCCAGCGGCACTTTGCGCTCGCCGGCCTCGCTGCCGTCTGGCAGGAGGTATCCCTGCTGGATGCGTTCGGCGCGTTCGCGCGCCTCGATCTCGAGTACGCGCGCGCGCAGCGCGGCTTGCCGGCGCGCATCGGCTTCGAGCTCGGCCATGGACGGCGGGTCGGCGCGCGTGTGGCTCATCCATGCCGTCCATTGCACCGGGAGCTGGGCGGTGCCCCGCCGATAGTCGTCGGGCGAGGAGTAGGCGTACGAGGTCGGCGAGTCGGCGTATTCCACTACCCGCTTGCTCCGCCCGCCGGCGGGATTGGGGAGCTCGTAGTATCTGTTGCCGGCGAGGTCGCGGCCCAGTGGGCGCTGGGGTCAGCGCGGCGGGGGGAGGGGAGGTAACTCACGCGGCTGCTGAAGGGGATCTTGGAGATGATCTTGGACCACAGGCCCAGCTGTCGAGATGTCGTGTGCATCGAGGAGACGGGAGATGGGTGATGGAGCCTTCACGATGACGATATGACGGAGTTGAGAGAGGCAGGCTGACTTTCGGACATGTTCTGATTTGGTCCCGAGGTAGCAAGTGGAGGTTGTCCACAGTGAAGGGATGATGCCGAACGACACCTTGGTCGCTGCGAGTATTCAGAGGAACAAGGATCGCACACCGCCATCCGCATCCGCATCCGCATCCGCATCACTTCACATCGGTTACTGCTGCTACTACTGCTCCTCCTCCCGCTCTACTTCATTCACACTTCTCCTCTGCTTCATGCCAAATGTACTCGCGGATCAGCAAGCCGTGGGCATGCCGAGCTGTGGGCAGCTCGGTACGCGTATCAACATTTTACGCGATTAGGCCGTGTTGTCGGCGTTGTCGCCAGCACCAACGGTCGAGTATGCGCCGCGACCGTCGGGGCCGGTGCCAGCGCGTGCGTTGACGATCCAGTCAGGGAATGACCAGACGGGGTCCTCGGGGTCGTGCACGTGAGTGAAGAGGATGAAGAAGACGAGGCCGAGCTGCGTCGCAACATCAATCGCACCCTGCACGATAACCTGCACATTGACGCCGATGATGTTGGTGCCAGTGCCGAGGAACCAGACGATGGGGTACGCGATCCAGCCAACAACAAGGCCGAGCATGCCGAGGGTGTACAGACCCTGGGTCGAGCGGCGGCGGGTGCGAGCAGCAGTGATGCCGGGGAAGAAGAGGAGGAACCACGCGCCGAGGGTGAACAGAAGGCCCATAATGGTCCAGGCAATAAACTGCTTGCGCGGGTGGAAGCCGCGGCGGTGCGAGGTGAAGTGGTCAGCGGCGATGGTGGACGCGCCCGAGAAAGCAGCAGCGATGGCGGCGGTGAGCGCGTGTAGCGGCGCCATGCCGCTAAGGATGGCAAACTGGATGACAAAGAGTGGGAGCGTGATCATGTGAGCAGCGTCCTGTCCCCAGAAGACCTCACGGACCCAGACGTCGATTGGCGCCGGGGTCTCGGGGATACCGATGGGAGGGTGAGGGTCGTGACGGTGCGGCGGGGTGTGGGGCGGGGGCGGGCCGTGGTGGACGTGGTGACCGGGACCAGAGCGGCCTAGACCAGTTGCGAGGCAGAAGTAGGTAAAAGTCGTGACGGTGAGGGAGAGGGCCGAGAGGCTGAAGTGAGCGATGGTTTGGGCCAGAGCGAGTCGGGCTTACTAGTGGAAGACGCGAATCTTGTTTGTGACGCGCCGGGCGACTAGGAAAGTGCCTACGACGCCGGCAGCGAAGAGGGCGAAGAAGACCCAGAGAGCGATGTGCACCGGCTTTCCGGCGACCAGGTGGTGGAGGTGGAAGTCCTGGGGTCAGCGGGGGGTTCGAGGGGCTGGAATTGAGCCGAGGCGGCCCAGAATGCTAAGAAAAGCTAGCTGTCCAATCCTTCGGCCGGCGAGCCCGTCGACTGCACCGCCCAGTGCTTGCGCATCAGGTTGCCAAATTGCGATGTGCGGTGCGATTCGGATCGACGAGACCTTGGCCGCAACACAAGGCAGGCCGCTGCTCTGCCGTCGCCCACGACCACTACGAGATGTCGACTCACAGGGTGGCAGATTCTGCCGCCGCCGGGAACGGGGTGGCATGGCCAGCCGTCGCCGTGGCCGGGGGTGTGGGTAGGGTGGGGCTTTGGGTGCTTGGGACCGTGGCCTTTGCCGTAGCCGTCCTGGAAGCTCATAGCAAAGGGGGAGTAGTCGAGCATGGTGCCGGGATGCCTGTGGCCTGTGGATGGAGGGAGATGGAGAAGAGAGAAGAGAGAGGAGCGACGAGTTAAGAGGCCTCGAGAGTGTGGGCTATACGGGGAGTGGCAGTCAGGTGATGGGGATCGGCCGAGCATCGAAATGACCGCATGCCATGACGTCGTTGCCGGCGTCCTCCACTCCCGCCCTCATGTCAGACACACCCCACCTCGTGGTGCATCATGGAGTATCCATAGAATCTCGATCCGAGGCGCTACATAGAGTTCTTACATCTGCGAAGCAGCGGGTGATAGATGTGCTCGCTATGCCACGCACTACGCGACGAAGAACCGCCGCACCGCGTTCCACAGCCACGACAACGTCTCCTGCACGACCTGCACACTGGTGTCAGCTGTATCGCCTGCGCATATCGCACCTCTGGTGACGGGCGAGCCACGTGCCCCAGTTAGAGGCGTGGACAACACGGCCGAGCCCGTACTCGTGCGTGTGCACAGGCGCCACAGCCTTGCGATCCAGCTCCGCCTCCATGCCGGGCTTCAGCACGTCCTCCACGGCTTCAGCGTCCACTTCGTGAGTGTACGTGTACGCGGTGCGCGGCGCGCTCGGCTCCGGCACGCGTTCTGGCTCCGCAGGCTCCGCAGGCGGGTCAGACACGGCGCTGTCAGCCCAGTTACGGACTCGTCCTGGATCTTCGCGCCATCGCTCCTCCTCTCCCTGCCACCGCTCCTCTTCTCCCCGCCACGTCTCGTCCTCGCGGGGGCGGTGCTCTCTGTGCCATCTCACGTCGCGGTCGACGCCGTACAACCGCAAGTCGCGCGTCTCGTCCGCCACGAAGGCGACTTCAGCGCGCAAGCGTGCGACTTGGCCTGCGAGGCTGCCCAGAATCCACAGGAGAACGAGGTTGACGAGTGTGTTCCACGAAACGAGGGACGCGAGGGCGGCGCGCGATCGCGACGGTTGGGCGATAGCCACTGTTGTGGGGGTGGGTGCGTCGGGGGCCACGATCAGCAGTTCCTTCTCCTCCTCCTCCGCCGCCACCACTTCTTCCTCTTCTTCCACTGTTTCTGTCTGTTCCACGACCAGAGGTGGCGTAGGAATGGGCGGTGGCGTGGGGACCACAGGCGTTGGCGGCACAGGCGCAAATGTGATATATGGCACATCGCCACGGTCGCCGATGAATACCCGCTCGCTCGTGCGCTTGAGATTCGTCGTAGGCGGGTACGCAAGTGGTCCTGCCGTCAGCTTCACACGTTTCTGACTCACTGTCCCAGCCATCACCGGCGAGTTCGACACGCAGCTCCCCCGTCCCTTCCACGAAAGGGAGGGCGACGCCGTCGTCATCCACGACTTCCAGCACGAGCTCGACATTGTCCCGGCCTCTGCCGAAGCGCACGTCCACTCCGTCGTCTCGGGCATGTATCGCGTGCGGTAGGGGCGTGCCGCGCGCCGAGGCGCGCAGGACACGCACGGCCTCAGGCGGCAGGCTTAGGCCCAGAACTACCTCCTCCGCCTTGGCGGGCCACGGGAGGAGCACGGACATGGTCTGCAGGCCCCAGATGCTGCGCTTCGAGTTGACCCGGACTGTGCCTGTCACGGGGACGGGTGCGCGTGGCGGCAGCGCCGCGCCGCCCTCGTCCGTCCATGCAAACGTGCCGACCGAGGGCTGTGTTGTGTCGCATAGCGATGGAGACTCGTCCTCGTCTTCCGAGTGAAGTGGCACGAGCTGGGCGCCAGGACACTTCACGTCGCACTCGGCGGGGAGAGTCGCGTCTTCGAAGCGGAAGAAGGGTATGGGCACGGGCGCGCCGGGCGTCACAAGCGTCCATGGAAGCGGGACGAGCGTGCCCTCGACGAGAAGGACATTGTCCTCCTCCTCTTCGTTCCCTGTGTGCTCGAACTCCAGCTCGAACAGGGACGCCGGCGTTGGTACACGAGGCACTACCTTCAGGACAGCCGCGCCGTGGCGCTCAATGCGCCGGCGGCTCGGCGTGACTGGTAACGCCGGCTTCTCCTCATCTCTAAACAAGTTGAGTTCGAAGGAGTAGTCGGCAGAGTCGAGCGACGCGAGGTCAGATGGAACATCAGGGCCTACCGTTGTTATCGAATCGTCGGGGTTCGTCGCCGTCGCCGAGAACAGCGCACCCAACGCCTGCATGTTGGGGGAGCGCCACGAGAAGAGGCCATCAGCGCGGATCTGCAGCTCGCTCCACCCCCATCCAGGCGGGAGCACAGCCTCGAGGTGGAATGGCCCATGGATGGCGGCGATGACCGCCTCGAACGTGATGCCAATGGAAGGTTGTCTGGCGTCCCAGTGCGGCGCGATGCGCAGATCAGGCGGGGTACCAAGTGCCGGCGCAAAGCCCCACTGGAGCGCTACCATGTCGGTGCTTTGATACCGGCCACGGAGCCAGCTGCTGTCCTCCTCCTCGCTCTCGGCGCCGGGCACCTCGCCGTCCTCCCATCCATCTTCAAAGCGGCGCTTCGACGGTGTCGCCTCGCGAGCGTCACGAGAAGCCGGGAGGGGGAGGACCCGCGGCATCGTCACGATTTCAGCAGACGCGCACTCGGCATCGGGCGGGACAATTTCGAAGCGGATGAAGTTGTCCAGGCACTTGGGGGTGGGGATTGAGGTCTCGTGTGAGCAGGATGCTAAGACCGGTGACTCACCTTGAACCAGGTCTGGCCATTCGTTGACTCGTAGTCGATCGGCGCTTCAAACTCAAGTACCACGAGCCACTCGCTGCGTGCCCGCCCACCGAGCGATGAGCGGCGTCGCGACTTGGTCTCCGAGGGAGGCGTGGAGCTGTCGACGGCGACGAACACTTGGCCCGTGGCCCGGGAGACGTCTACGTGCGGCTTGATGCCCGGCTCGTGTGCGGCAGGGGAATACGCGCCCGGCGGTGGGAGGGCAAGGAGTGACGCGGCGGTCGCAACGTGCTTTGAGGTCGACGCTAGCGCGAGCGATGCAGGAAGAGGGTAGAGCGCCGGAATTGAGCGTAACTTCGGCTTGGCGCCTAAATGTCAGTCAATGACGCGATCGATGCCTCCGACTCCGACTCACCCTGGAACAGCTCCCAGCGCTGCTGACGCCCATCGCCGTCTTTGGGGAGCGTAATCTGGCGTGAGTGTGGAGCGATGGGAGGATAGACCTACCTTGAGACACAGCAGCCCGACGACCCTGTCTCCGCGCGCGGTGGCCTCGACGCCCGCCTTGGAGACCACGAGACCCGCCGGCGCCGTGGGCGTGTTGAGCCCAAGACTGTCCAGGCCGCCGGTAGCGTTGCTCATGTCGAGAAACGGGGAGGCGGTGGACGGCGCCGAGAGGGCAGTCACGAGCGGGGGTCTGGCGCGCGGGCTGGGTGTAGCTGAGGTGGTCGTCGAGGTGGGCGCTGAGGCTGAGTGCGTGGAACGCGAGTGTGAGTTGGTCGTCGGTGTCGGGGGCGTGGCTGACGCAGAAGCGGAATCCGAAGGCGGTCGGGGGGAGGGGGTCGCGTGAGAGAGACCGTTGGGTGAGGGCGCTTCCAGGGAGGTACGAGACGGAGTTTGCGAGAGAGCTGGAGATTGAGAGTGCGACGACGACGACGATGGGCTGCCTGGAGGAGATGGGGAAGGGCGAGAAAGAGGGCGCGATGCGAGTGGAGGAGACGAGGGCGCTGAGACAACAACAGGCTTTTGGAGCGGCTCGAGGGGGCGAGCCGGGGGCAGCTCAGAGGCGCTTTGGCGCGGGGCGGGGCGTGTGTGTGGATGAGGGCGGGATGAGTGTGAGTGGGAATGGGAATGGTGTGCCATGTCGAAGAGGCCGACGCGGGAGGCAGCGGGCCTAAGCGGACGACTTGGCGAGGGGGTGTCTGGAGCCTGAATGATGGCGAGGATGGAAGTGATGGCGAGCGAGTATGAGGGGGGCGACTTGTTGACAGGATGGGCGGATCGTCAATGATGCTCCAAGGGACCAAGGGTCAAATGACATTATGCCGAGGTGACTCACGATCACGTGGCCTTTTCCACCTACCCCAGCCACCCCAGAATCCTTCCGCCGCCGATGCCGACGCCGCCCCCGTCGTTCAAACACAGAACTCTCATGCGCACTGCAGAGATACATAGAGCTGTGTGAGCCGAGCCGAGCTGCTCGAGCAGAGTAGTCGTGTCTACAAGCTAGTTGATGACGAGCGTAACAGAAGACTAGTTGTCCTCGTTGACCTTCTCCCACGACGCCCCGCTCGATGGGTGGCTGGCCGTGTCCTCCTTCTCCTCGTCCGTCTCCTCCTCCTTCTTCTCCTCCTTGTCCTCAGCGTCGGCCGGCGCAGCCTCGTCCACGTCGTCCTCCTCGACGGCGGTCACGCCGCCCGTCGCAACGCGCTGCACAGCCGCAGCCCCGCCGGCGTTGGCCGCCGACGAGAGCTGCGTGAGCTTGAGCACAAGCTGGAACACGGGCTCGGGGCAGACCTTCTGATAGATCATGAGGAGCTCGACCGGCTGGGGGTACACGCGGAGGGCGCGGTAGAAGTGCGTCGCGGCCTTGACGTAGTGCTCGGGGCCCTGGGCGGCGAGGCCCTCGGCCGTTGCGACGTGCTCCTGGAAGTATGCCTCCATGGCCTCGGGCGACGAGGGGGGCTGCTCGAGCTCGAGCTCGACAAGGGCGAGGGTGAGTTCCTGGGGTGAGCGATGGAACCGAGTCCGCAGGGCGAGGTGAGGGAGCACCGGAGATGAGGTGTGAGGCAGGGGGCTGGGCGCCCAAACGGCGAGGAGCGCTCTGGCACGGCCATAACGGACCAGAGAAGACGGCTAGTACCAGCGCTCAGAAAGCAACAGCTCGAGCCGCAGACTTCTGCTTCCATGCGCCGCGACCACCTTCCAGCGGCACGGAACAATGCCGAGGCCGTTCTTCCCTCTACACACCGCCCTTTCTCATCGCCCTCTCTTCAGGCAAGCCCGGCGTCATGCCGCCGCCGCCGCCAGCTCATGACTCACCCGCTGGTCCCGCACAGCCTGCTCCTTGGCCTTAGCCTCGGCCTGCGCGGCAATCTTCTTCTGCTGCTTCCCTGGAGTCAGCGATATCCACACATCCTCCATTTTCTCGTCCTCCCTCCGTCCTCTTCGGCGTCTCCATCAGAGTCCACCGTCCGCCGCCTGCGCCGCCTCCACCTTCCTCTCTCACGACCCCGGCATCAAGCCATCGGCAACCTCCCCGCCACCGCCGACACTCACGCAAACCCTTGCGGAACGTGGGCGAGTTGCGGCGCATGTAGTCAAAGTACACCGCGTAGCCCAGCACGCCCGTGACGGCGGCGCCGGCGGTGATGAGTGCGACCTGTCCTGCGCGCATTGTGGATGGGAGAGAGAGTGGAGGGTGGAAAAGTAGGGTCGGTTCGGCGGTGGTAGGGGGCGGATTTATCTGGTCCCGCCGTAAGTGTGCGTGCCTGTATTTCATACTGACCGCGCGACGCTCTCTCATCGGCGCTCACTCCTTCGGCGCTCACTTGCTCGGCACCCACGCTCACTGCGCTCACTCTCGCTCGCCGCTCACGCGCTCACGCACTCAACGCCGGCTCAACGCCCGCAGCTCTTCCTTCGCTCGCTCTCCACATCTGCAGCGCGATACAGAATAAAACTACAATGCTAATATGCAGCGGCGTGATGTCATGACGGGTGCGGCTACGCCGCGTTTTCTCTTGCTTGGCTGGTCAGCTGGCGGGTTGGTGGGTGTGGGGTCGACAATCGGGGTCGGGGAAACTACACGCGAACACGTACCGTGGTCCGCCAGGCATACAAGGCATACAAACTACGGCCTCCAGGCTTTGGTCAGTTCCTCCTGTTGATGCGGCGTCCGGAGAAGAAGCACATACCGTGTTGCTGTGGCGAGCCTGGGCCGTAGTCGCGGTCGTGGAAGCTGGGCTCGATTTCGATGCTGATGCGGCGGCCGGAGGTCGAGCGCCGGCTCTTCAGCGAGTCTGAAGACGCGTTGCGCGGCAGCCCGGCGCTGCCCCGCCGCTCCCAGCCCAGGCGGTAGGCCGCGAGCTGGTCGCCGAGCGTGGCGGCGTGTTCGAGGTCGACGATCTGCGAGGGTGTCAGGTGTGCGGTGGCGCCGCCGAGGTCCGCGGCCAAGTCCCGCGGCGCGGGCACGGGCGCGGTCACGAGGCCGAGGCGCGGGGTCGGTGGGCCGGAGCCCGCGTGCGAGTGCGAATGCGACGTCCGCGAGCGGCGTGAGCTTTCGGACGGCGCGCGCGACTTGGACGGCGACGAGAGGCTCTGCGAGCCGCGCCGCGTCGTGAAGCTCCCGTGTGGCGCGAGGGCGCTCGTGTTGCGCACGCGCGGCGCGATGCGCTGCCATGCCGGAGTCAGGTCGGGGTGATAGAGCCCCGAACTGCTCTCGTCCGCGAGGCCGAGGACTTCGCCGAGCGGCGAGATGGGATATGCCGTGAGGTCTATGAGGGAGCGGCACGCGGCTTCGATGTCCGCCGCACGGTGCGGGCGCGTGGTGCGTCGCGGCCGCAGCGCGCCGCTTACGCTAAGTGCACGCATCATTGTTGTTGGGGCCTCGTTGCGCGACATGAGCGGCTCGGAGCGCACACTTGTTTGTGAGTGTGCCGAGTGATTGGAGTGCACAGAGTGTGCAGAGTGAGTTGAGTGGTTGCTGTGCACCGTACGCGAAGACTGGTTCGAGCCGCGCTCCCACCACTCGTTCCGGTCGTAGAAGTACTGCGAGTTGGGGCGTGATCGGCCGAACGGTCGCTGAGGGAGCTGGCTGAGCTGGTCTTTTGCTTCGGAGCCACCCTGCTCCGAACTCGTGTATCCATCCACGCGCGGCGTGCTGGCCTGCCGCCGCTCCTGGCGGTGTATGGCGTCGGCCTGCCCAGCCGTATTAATCAGCTCAGAGATGGTAGCAGTTACGAGATCCTTAATTGTTGGCTGTGGCATCCTCGCCACAGCCGGGGATGGAACGGGCCGCCGGAGACGCGTGATGGCCGGCTCGCCGGGGTCCGAGGACGACTCGGACGTACCGACCGTCGCGGGGATGCGATTGACGGCGTTTCGTGGTCCTGGCTTCGGGAAGGGCTCGGACGAGTCCGAGCCTGCGCTGGCCGACGCGGATGCCGACGCAAATGCCCCACTGTCGGTTCGCGAGGCGCCGGAGCGCGACGACTCGTTCACGCTGTCGCCTTGTGAGCCCTCATTACCAGATATGTCGGCCACGGACGAGCCGGAGGCCGCGGGCTCATCGTCTGAGCGAGCGCGGCCTACAACGGGCACATTTGGCTTGTGTGCGTGCGATTTGGGCGAACGGCGGTGGAGGTACGAGGTGCGCGAGTCACTCCCGCTCGCGCTTGGAAGAGGTGTTGTGATATCTGTCGTGGACTCGGTGGGGACGGTAGATGTGGATGGGGGAGAGGAGGAGGAGGATGTGGACGGGCGGCGCTTCTCGCGCGAACCGGCGCGCGCCACCGGCGTCCGTGGGGAGTGGACGCGGCGCGACCCGTCGCTGCTTTGCATGTCGGTTACGGGGGTGTCGTATCCCGATGTGCCGCCATCAGAGGGCGTAGCATGATTTTGTGGAGAGGGTGCGAGCGATGAGAATGTGCTGTTTGTTCTAACTGGCCGAGGCGCGATTATTGTATCTGGCGAGTCTGAGGTGAGCAGAGGTTCTCGAGGGAGGAGTCCGTGCGTAGACAAGGAACGTGCATGCAGGGGAATCTGGGGGGAGGCGGAAAAACGCACCATTGTGGGCCGGGACACACACACCGCGGCCCCCGTCTGGTGTGCGCGACATCTGGCCCGTAGCCTCTAGACGAGGGAGTGCATCAGGAGCGCGCTTGGGGGGCGAGTACGGCAGAACGGCGGTGTCGCGCGGTGCGGTGTTGTATGCAGAAATGCGGATGGAGTGGGTGCGCAGGGATGGCGCTGGGTGGGGGCAGTTATTGTTGTTTGCGAGTGGGAGTGAGCTGGATGGAATATGCCGCAGTGAACGGGGTGGCTTATGGCTGAGGTGTGGCGTGTGGAACGTGTGGCAAGTGTGGAACGTCGATGATCGTCGTCAGTGGCGATGATGTGTCGGAGGCGGTGGCTGCTAATGAACGAGTGAGACAGTGGCAGATAATGACTGAATGGGATCTGTGGAGAGCGACTAAGAGTGAGACAAGAGCGAGGAGCGTGAGGTGAGACTGGTGCGGGTAGTTGGGGGAGGGGAGGGGGGTGGCGACGTTGTTCTCGCAGCATGCAGGCATGCATCCAGGTTGCGGGTGGGGAACTAACCTCGTCCTGTTTCCCTGACAAGACTCGACGTTGGGCTTGTGCAAACTGCGCACTCCGCACCTCTCATGCATCGTGCATCGAGCACGGGGTCGGGGTTGCCGGGCAACATGCCAACATGGAGCAATTTGCCATCGGCCAGCTGTCATATGCCAGATGCCAGATGCCGACTGTAGGCCAGGTGCGTGCGAGCTGCATGCTGCGCGGGTCATGGGCTTACCGTCCCAGGCCCCAACACGATTTTTGGGAGCGCTTTGCCTGCTGTCCTGCATTTTCCTGCATCTCCTGGCACTTTGGCTATGGCTTATCGGCATCTCGGCAACAGGGAGCAAAAGGAGGGAGAAAGAGAGCAGGAGAGCACGAGGGGTGGAGTGAGGGGGACGAGGAGCGCCGAGCATAGCCAATGATCCAATTGGTCATGCTCTGGCGCGGGTGCTGCGTGCAAATGCTGGACGAGCGGGGAGAACAGGGAGTGCACGTGAGCCTTGTCATTGTGACTCCAAATGCCACCCAAGTACGTCCCAACCCATTCAGGCACACTGCATCCGCAGCCACCCTCTCTTTTTAACACTTTGCCAGTTTAATCGAGCCCATCGGCCTCACGCGCGACGTCGAGACCCGCGCTAGCGCGCTATCGGCAAGCATAATCTTGCAGAGAAGAATTGATTGCTCGCCCTCGGGCTCGTGCGCATGTGGGCAAGATATCGATGCTGAGTAACTTTTCCGCTCTCTTGAACGCTTGCTCTGGCCTGTGTCTGCTACCTGAACGAAACATGTGCAACCCGTCCGGGTCTCGAGATGCCGACTGTCCACGCCGGACATTCGCGTGTTTGTGTCCGGTTTACCTCGCGCTTATCTAGGACGTGAATTCGATGTGGATACAACCCTCACCGAGATCTCTAGATCTCTGCCGTAAGTTGGCGTCGAGTGACAACCTCATGCTGGCTGGGTTCGATGTGAGAGTGAAACATCGACAGCCGTGGTTGATGACCCGCGTCACTGAGGTTGGTACGTGTCTGGTCTAGGCTGCTCTGCGTCTGATCTGAGACAAGTCAGATCTGGGTACGACTTATTACCGACAAGTCTCTGGGGTCTGCCTCGGTCTAGCGAGCGCCGTCGATTGATCTGCATGTCAGTTCACGGAGCCACGCCCCCATGAACGCTGGACTCCGGGGCTGCTTGGTCTGCTGACAGCTTGAGCTCGCCTGCTTCTTGGCGCTCACAGTAGCTGGGCTTCTTGATCGGTCGCTGGAATGCCAGATCGCTGCTGCTGCTCAACCACTGAAAGTCCGCTTGGCTGCTCAGACCGCCGGGCTAACACTGTTGCTTTGCTGGACGGTGGCTAGCCCGCTGATCCGCTGCATGGCTCGACGCGGTGATATTGTCCCGGACTACTGGAGCGCTGGCCCATAGATGGCTGACCGGACGCTGAACATGTCGACGCCCATCTTCCTCCCATTGTAAGTCGCCATAAGCCTTTCGACGCGGTGGTGGCTGCAACCTATCGGGAAAGGTCGCTCTTACATCCACCATTGGCACTTAACTCTTTGCCGATACCGACGAGGTGTCGAGATATTGTATGGTGCGTCAGAGAGTCAGTGTCCGACGACGCTACTGCCAGCACGCACTGACACCACATCAAGCCAGCACGGCCCGTGGCTGTCGTCCATCCGAGTGACTCGGCACGAGATTAGATTGCTCACGTGTAGGCACCGAGATTATCTCACGACAATCGCACGCAGAGTTCAGATCGCGTCAGTCGCTTCACTTCATTTCGCCCACGCCCTCCCTCGCGTCGCCTGCACCTGCGCCCCATCCCGCTCACGCCTGCGCCCGCCCCTACGCCCATACCCACTCGCTCGCTCCGACCACGCCCACCAACCACAAAACCCCACGGCAGCCGTGGGAAGAAAAAAGACGTCACGGGCATATCACTCTACCAAGCCTGCCTGCACAGACACGGACGAAGGGGATACTAGTTCATTTCGAAGGGCCAGTGCGATAGGACACGGGAGAGAAATGGGGCATGGTTGGACCGAGAGTGGGAAAGACGCGGGGAGAGGGTAGACGGGCGCCGGCGGACAAGGAGCGGTAGCGGCAACAGGCCGCGGGCCGCTTACTGGCCGCGCTTCTTGAGGTTGGTCGAGAGCCATTCCAGGCCCTCGTACAGGCCGTCACCCGAGGTCGCACACGCAGCCTGGATGTACCACTGGCGCTGGCGGAGCGAGTGGAGGCCAAGCTTGTCGGTGATCTCGGCGGCGTTCATGGCGTTGGGAAGGTCCTAGGGGCGTCAGCAAGTGCTCTGCTGGGCTGCCGGGCTGGGCTCGGCTGAGCACATCGCGCAGCGCGCGATCAGTGCTCAACTCACCTGCTTGTTCGCGAACACGAGGAGAAGGGCGTCGCGAAGCTCGTCCTCACTCAACATGCGCTGCACTGGAAGTGTCAGCTCGCTCTACCATCGAGACACTCACGCTCCTCGCGCGCCTCAGTGATACGCTCCCTGTCGTTCGAGTCGACGACGAAGATGATGCCCTGGGTGTTCTGGAAGTCTAGTTGGGTCAGTGCGTGCTAGGAAGTGGTTCTTGGCGCACGTCGCACCGCGCTGCGGGCATGAGAGGGGACTGTGGGCGACTGTGATGTCTGGCACCTTCCCACAAATGCCCGCCTACCCTCCAATGTGCAGCTGGTGCGACGCGCGCTGCTTCTTACGCACAGTGCCTCCAGAGGGGACGAATCTTGTCCTGACCTCCGACGTCCCAGACGGTGAACGAGATGTTCTTGTACTCGACAGTCTCGACGTTGAAGCCTGGGTGTTAGCGGGGGGGTTCAATTGACTTTTGAGTGCGTGCGAGATTCAAGCGCGGCCCTGGGCCCCGGTCGGGCGCCGCCACCGTCGCAGCGGGCGCATGCCGCGGAGCGGGCACGGAGATGGGCGTGCGCGCACGCAGTGCTAGCGGCGGCTGAGGGTTTTGGGGGGCCAAGATCGCGCGCTGACGCGCTTCTCGGACGCGTAGTTGATGATGCTTACCGATGGTGGGGATGGTGGTAACAATCTCGCCGAGCTTGAGCTTGTAGAGGATGGTGGTCTTACCGGCGGCGTCGAGACCGACCATAAGAATGCCTGGGTGTGAGCTGGGGAGCTTGGGTGGGAGGGGAAGATGTTGGCATGCGAGTGCGCGTGATGATGGGGCGGCGCGGCGAGGCGAGGAGGGATATTACGCGGTCTTGGGCCGGGGGGTGATAATACTTACGCATCTCCTTCTTGCCGAAGAGGCCGGAGAGGAGGCGAGAGACGGAGAGACCCATGTTGAGAGAGTGGCTGGGTGGGGTGGGGGGAGGGGGGGGGAGGGGTGAGGAGGAGAGATGAGTGAGAGATGGGTAATTTAAGATAAGTAAGAGGAGAGGGGAGGATGGTGAGGGCGAGTTTGTGGGTAGCGTGGAGGGGGTGCTGGCGTGGAGGCTTCAGTCTCCAGGGCGGGGCATGGACCGGGGGGAAGGTGGGATGCCAGCCGTGGGTGGAGCCTTGTCGCCTTGGACAGCACTCTATTGCTCGTGCACTTTCCCTGAGCCCCCCACTTAAGCTTTTGGTCATCATCACCGTAGCTTCACCTCAGCACCCAAAAACTCAACGCCACGCGTCATCTCACCCTTCGGTCATCCTCGGCAATATCTTCTCAAAATGGACGTGGCACTCTGCGACAAGTGGCATCCCGGCAGTGACCATCGACCATCGACCATCGACCATCGGCCATCAACCATCGTCAGCAATGCCGCCAGCAACGTCGCCAGCAGTGCATCTATTCCATCACGACGTTACCATTGTGCTCCGATGCATCGTTGCATTGCTGGCCCTTCCTCTTGTCTTGTCATCCTCCAGCTCACACCCTTTCCCCCCTTTGCACAGCCTCACAACCTCACAGCTTCACTGACCGCTATGCAATACATTTCAACTACAAAACTTACCCGCATACTGCACCTCTAAATTGGCACATAGTCATTAATACGGCTGCGCGCGTCCTGCGCAATACACTCGGCGATCCACGTCAGATTGCGCACCTCTTGCTCCTTGAGCTTGACGATCGAGTAGAAAATCGCGTACTGGAACTGCTGAAGGAAGCTCTCCTTGTTGAGCGCCACATCGTGCTTGAAAAACTCGTCCTCGAGCGACGAACCGGCTTCCTGGTCGTCGGTCGAAGTCGTGTTGGCAGTCCCAGCACGGTCGAAGAACGCGCGGTACTCTGGCACGTGGTCGACAGCAGCCATGACCTGCTCAACATCGTCCGCGCGTGCAAGCATGTTGTTTCCCTCTGGGTACAGGCGGCCAATGGTGGGGAACAGACGCGCACGCTGGTCCTTGGACAGTTCAGTACCAAACGAGTTGATGGTAATGTTGATGGAGCGACGGTCAGCCTCAAACGCGAGAATCTTGGCCATAACCTCTCCGGTGGGCGCGGGCAGCGTTTGGCAGAAACGGTAGAAGTCCTCGAGGTACGCCTTGTAGAGCGAGTTGCGGATGATCTCAATGTTGAGGTCGTCGAGGTCCTGCGCGGACAGGCAGTCACGGAAGTAAGGCGCAAGTGGCGTCTCGACGAGCACCGAGTGGTACAGCTCCTCAACATTGGTCGCAACGCAGAGCGCGGGCATTGTGTCGAACACGCCGAGTGGGTGGCAGTGTTCGAGCAGCTCGTGCGTGTCGCGTTCGTGCAGCGTGCCCAGAGTCAAGAGAATAACATTGTCGATCATGTACGCGTAGGTGATGTAGTCCATAAACGTCGCGAGAGGCTCAACCGCGTTAGTGCGCGTGTAGTTGAATTCCTCAACAAGCTTGGCAGTCGCCTGCGTGGTCAGTACGGGTGGTATGTGAGTTGTTCCCCCACCTTGTCGGCAATGGTCGCGGTGGACAATGGTAAGGGCTCGTTAGCGAGGAAGTTGCCGTAGTCGGTCGACGAAAGCTGCATGCGGAAGTCTGTTGTCAGCAAAAGACGAGGAAGGTGCGCGCGCGCATACCTTCGAGGTTCTCGCATTGAGTGAGGTTGTGGTACTGGGACTGTGTGAGGAGCGAGTTCTTGAGGCCGCGAACGATGCCCTCTAGGAAGCCATTGTTGACCTTTGGAGTCAGCGACCATGGGAGACGCGATGGCGAGTGTGGTGGCTTACGTTGAAGTACAACGCCTCCATGATGAGTTAGAGGCGAGAGTGAAAGATGGAGGAGAGCGATGAAGGTGACTGTTGGCCTGTTGGACTGTTGCAACGTCGGTCACATCCAGCAGCGTCATCCCGAGGGGGTCTGGACCACGTGGTGTGGTGTCCCACGGTTGACGCCACCCTGAGGAGCATGATTGAATTGATTCCGCTGCGACGGCGGCGGCGGGGGTCCACGTCACGAGGGGAATGAGGACTGAAGGAGGATTCGCTTATGGGATTACACTTATTTGAGGCACGAAGCAACCGATTAGCTCAGGAGGGGGGTTAATTAGGAATGACATATTCACCTGCCTCGCTACCACTACACGCCTGATCAACCTCTCCTCCCCTCTCGTCCCTGTCACCACTCGCCTCGCTCGTCCTGTCACGCTCTCCTCCGGCTCCTCCTCTCATCCAGTCCTTTCCACTCTCCCTCTCTCATTTCATCCTTCCCACACTTCTTTTTTCTCATTCTCCTCGTCTCTTCTCCTTTTTTTTCTCTTCTCGTCTCCTTGCCCGTTCTCTCCATCTCGCTCTTCCCCCATCCCCCTTCTACATCAATCTCGGTCCGCCCCCTCTATCCTCTCTCCACACTCATGGCCGCTCGCAAAGGCGGTTCCGCCGCCCCCCAGCAGCCACTCCTCGCCTCCCCCCTTCCCTCCGACGCGCCATCGACCCTCGCGACCGACCCCCATCCCACCGTCCGCGTCAACAAGTCTCACCTCGCTGAGATCAAGTCTGCACTCGATGACATTGTCAAGGAGGTGCGTCATACTCTCCGCCTCACCACGCTGACATTCAGCACCTAGTACAGCAGGCATTCACACCATCACACCTGCACACGACCGTGCATCTCGCGCTCGGTTACGCGTCGGTCATCATTGCACTTGGGTGCTCGCTCTACGCATACAAGATGGAGTTTGAAGAGAGCAAGCCAGTGCTTTGGGTCGCCGTTGTGGGCTATTTTGGCTTCCAGGGAGCGCTCTGGGCGTGGAAGCGATGGGTAGAGCGTGGTGAGGTGTTCCGCGGGCGCAGGAGGCGGATTGTGAAGCGGGTGAGTGTACGAGTACGCGCAACCAGGTTTGCGCGTGTGAAGCATTCCTTCGTCGTCTTGTCTCACTGCTCACGCCAGATTGAGACCGACCACATCCAGGTCATCACCTCGACGACGCTCCAGCACCCGCCTTCCCCGGTGCTCGCCGTGTCGCCGGACTCGCGGCCCGCTTCGCCGACGTCGCCCACTACACCGACACTCTCGCCTTCCTCGTCCGCTCCCGCACTCTCATCACCGCCACTTACGCCGACTTCCGGTATGAACCCACACCCTCGCGGCCCGACATACCTCGTGCATCTGACGTTGTCGACAACCTCGAACAGTGGTAAGAGCCTGTTGCACAAGGCACGCGTCGTCAGCGGCAAGCCGATCGGTGAGGTCATCGATGAAGATGGCGGTGTGGAGGCCGGCGAAGTGACGCGCTGGATCTCAAACCTGCTCGTTGACGCCGGCATGGTTGGCGTCGAGGATGAGGGCTTCAAGGACGAGTAGCGCAGGACGCTTCGATCGATTCACACACGCTTGTATCGTCGCCATTCCTAGATCCACTTGGACTTGGATCCATCGACCCTTTATCGACGTCTCGTCACGAACACACATCATAAAATTGGCCTGCGCTGCTGCACACCTAGAGACCTAATGCTGCTACGCGCCGAGCATACCCGGCTGGTGCCTTGTGTATACCCCGCCTTTTCATCCACGCGCATGCACATGTGAGCGACGAGGAACGGCGCCGCGCTGCCGGCGACGGATTCACCTGTTACCTCCCAGTGACCCGTATGAAGAGGCGGTGGAGTGTCAGTGGAGTGGAAAGTAGACGCAAGGTGTACGAGATGACCGGACTGGCTGATGGCTGAGAGAGAGTGCTTTGAGAGATCGAGAGAGTTGAGACCAGTGCTGAGCGATGACGCGCCTGTCTTGTCGCGTGTCGATCACTCGGCAACTTTGCATCCTTAATGATCCGGTGATCCGCACTGATCTTGTGACAGTCCAGGCCGCCAAGCCAAGCAGCGACCAGCTGCCGAACAACCTACTCCTCCCACTTGACATCTCAGACGTGTGCTCCTCTCCCAGCTCTCTGCGCGAAGCGGGCTCGTGTAATCGCCGCGCGCGGACGCGAACAGCGGAGCCGATTTGGCGATCAGCACCGCCCCGCATTCCGCACTGTCCGCCTGACCACAACCACCAACATATAACGTCTGGTTCGCTGTTCACATCTCAACGTCTTGTACGTCTATCGCACTGAAACTACCTCGGCGCATGTGGAACAAACCGGCCCAGGCGATACAGGGCGCAGTGCAGGACTGGGGACAGTGGGCGTCCTCGTCGCCCCTCGGCAACCAGCAAGGGCAGCAGTCGTGGCAAAACAACGGGCAGCAGCAGTCATGGCAGCAGAACAACGGGCAGCAGCAGTCGTGGCAGCAACATAATGGACAACAGCAGTCTTGGCAGGACAAGGGCCAGCACGGCCAGCACAACCAGCACAACCAGCACAGCCAGCACAACCAGCACAATCAGCACCAAGGCCAGTCCTCATGGCAGCCCCAGCACCAACAGCATAACTCGTGGCAGCAAAACCAGAATCAGGCGCAGGGGCATGGGCACGGGCAACACAACCAGCACAAGCCGCAGCACCACAAGCCGCAGCACCATAAGCCGAACAACTCGGTGAACCTCAATCCAACATGGGAGGAGATGATGAGCGCCAGCGGGTGGGCTGAGGGACACGAACCCGGACACGGCCATGGCCATGGACAGGGGCACAAGCATTCGCACTCGCACTCGCACTCCCAGTCGCAGACATGGAGCCACGAGGTGCCGCTGCAGGACGGCTCCATGCCCCGCTTTCCCGGGCGGTCCGACAAGCTCGTGGACGCGCCGACGGGCCACAGCGTACGAAAGCACTACATGCAGCACCTGCAGCCTGCGCCGCTGCTCTCGCGCTCGCCCTTCATCCCGCGCGCGATGGTCGAGCACCTGATGCGCAAGAAAAAGGACGCGGCCATCAGCATCAAGTACATGCCTGGCGACGCCATCTCGAACATGGAGGGCACCGCCCACACGTTCCTCACGCCGATCGTCTTTGCGCGCATGCACGGCGACTACGCGTATGAAGGAAGCCACACGGTACTCCCGTATGCGGGGCGCGCCCGCGAGGTGGTGGTGAGCGCGGCAATCCAGCCCGACTTTGAAGACTGCAACGGGATGATGGCGCTCGCGCGGCTCGAGCACCACGCGATACAAGGCGTGGACTGGCCGCAGTGGGGGCAGAACATTGCGAGCGCGAGCGAAAAGGCCAACCCCTCTACGCGGGCGAGCTACGACCGCGACGTGCGCGCCCACCTCATCCACCACCTCGTGAAGCGCCTCCCCGCGCTGCACGAAGTGCACCCGCTGAGCGTGCCGCAAGCCATCGCGCAGCTCGAAGCCGGCGCGACGCACGGCGCGGTCCGCCTCCCCAAAGCCGTCGTGAGCCTCGACCTCCTGTTCCGCGTGTACGTCGAGGCGCTTGCGAACGAGCTCGGCGCCCTCGAAGCCGTGTGCCCGTCGTACGTGTACACGAGCGACCCGCCGGCAATTTTCGCTCGCGAATGCGACGCGACGCTGCTCAATCGCCTGCAGGCCGCCGCGCTAGCGCACCTCGTCGCCCTCAACCCGGGCCGTCTGAAGAATATGCGTATATTCGCGTTTAATGACTACGCCGATCCGCAGGCCGTCTGGCACTTCCAGAAGGCCCTCCAGGGCACCGGCGTCAAGGTCATGCGCAAGGCCGACCTCTTCCCGTCTACTAATGGCGGGTACTACTCCCCGCCGGCGGAGGGGAAGGGCGCGCTCCTCGTGCTCCACAATAACAGCGATGCGTTCGGACAGAACATCGAGACGGAGGGGCCGGGAGGCAGCATGGACGGCGCGATCGGGTGCAACTCGAGCGTGGCGGGGAGTGTGCGGCGCGACCGCCACGATCTCGTCAGTCGCGTGCTCAAGCGCGGCGAGCGGCTGCGTGTGTGGTAGTTTCCGGTTCTCGAAGGCCTCGGACCCAGGATTTTGTTTCCAGCATTGAAGTAGTGTCGTCTCTCATCAGCCTCGTCACGTCGTCATCATACACAATCAATGGCCACAGTCAAAGTCTCGTCAGTCGCGCCGCTCCTCCGTAAATCTAGCAAGTACATGCCTATGCTACACTAGATAAGAAGCTTCTCGATCTCGTTCTTAACGGCCTGGATCTGGCTGTTGAGCTCGCGCGCCTCGTTGGTGGTGACCGAGGCGGCGATGACGGGGCGCGAGACGCCGCACGCGCGGCCAAGCGCAGTCTTCGAGGGCAGGAAGACGTAGGGCACGTTCTTGTCCTCGCAGAGGAGCGGGAGGTGGAGCACGATCTCGATCGGCTCGACGTCGGCGGTCATGACGATGAACTCGGCGATACCGCGGTTAAGCTGGGGTTAGCGCATCCCGCGCAGTGGATATTCAGATGCGGACAAGCTGCGGGGCGCGCAATTGCACCCCACCAAGCTTGCACCCTCATTACTCACAGTCTTGGTCGCCTCGTTCGCACCCTTCTTCAGCTGCTTGTAGTGCGAAGCCTGCTGAATCAGATCCAGGATCTGGTTGGTGAGCTGCGCGTTGGCGAGCGGGAAGGCCTTCGAGTTCGCTTCGGACATGTTGTTGCTAGTGACCTCACGGCAAGGATCACGGGTCGGATTAGAGAGTGTGTAGGGGGAGGTTGGAAAGTTGAGAGTTCAGACGACGAGGAGGCAAGGATTGAAGATTCTTGGTGGCGGTGGAGGTGGGATAAAATCCAAGAAATTAATACCCCACAGCCACGTGGCCATGCCTGGGTGCTGGCTGACATCCATGACGCCTCCATGTCAAGTGTCAACAACTGACGCTATCCGTGCAGCCGAAGACATCTCCGGCCTTGATCTCCGTCTTTTCTTCATCCTTCACACCCGCCCCCATTGCCTTCGGCATTCGTCCTAATCCTTTTCCACATCATCGTGCACCCGGACGTCGACGCGCCCTCTACATTGCCCCCGACGACATGCCGCTCCCAGGCACCTCAGGCACACCTCCTTAAACTGCCACCTCCACATCATTGACGCGTCTGGCTCATTTCAGTCTCTCACGCACCCAAACACCTCCATTCACCTCTCATCTCCTCACACATCGCCGACATGACTGGCTCGTTCATGCCCGTCCCCGGGGCAGACGAGTACGAGCTGAGCTCGTATGACGCCGAGCTCGGCGCCCACTCGGTGCAGTGGGTCGGCACTCCTGGCGTCAAGGGCCCCGCGTGGGCCAAGCTGCCCCTCCTCACCGTCGGTGTGCTCGGCACGCAGGTCGTGTGGTCGATCGAAATGGGTTACGGTGAGCTGCAATGGGCTGCGCGCCGTTTTCCCAGTGTCCACTGCCCTTCTCCGCTCGGCGTGACTAACTCCAGCCTCACCCTTCCTTCTGGAACTCGGCCTGAGCAAGTCCTGGATGTCCCTCGTCTTCGTTGCAGGCCCGCTCTCGGGCCTCATCGTCCAGCCCCTGATCGGCGCGTACGCTGACCGCTCACGATCGCGCTTCGGCCGTCGCCGCCCCTTCATGCTGGCAGGAACGGGCGTAGCCGTTGTCGCCATGATGCTGCTGGGCTGGAGCCGCGAAGTCGCCGGCCTCTTTGGGTTTGGGAACGGGGGCGCGATTGCCTGTGCCGTCTTCTCCATCTACCTCATCGACTTTAGCATCAATGCCGTCATGAGCACAGACCGCGCTCTGATTGTGGACACTCTGCCGCCACAGCAGCAGGAGGCGGGGAATGCTTGGGCGGGACGCATGGCAGGCGTCGGCGGAGTGGCTGGTTTCTTTGTGTACGTCTTGAGAAAATTGAGGAAAGTGGCACTGACCACAGCGGCAATATTGACCTCACCACCATTCTGCGCTGGCTGGGCAACACGCAGCTGCAAATTCTTTCGTTCTTGACTTCCACCCTCCTCGCGCTAGCGCACACGTCCACCTCCTGGGCTGTGACTGAGCGTGTCCTCCTCCGCGACGAGTGGGTAATTTCTGGTGATGGTAGCTGACAATAGCCGGGAACAGTCACGTTCCGGCGTCATTTCTGCCATCCGCTCGATCTGGCGAAATATGTTTACCCTCCCGCCTAGCATCCGAACTGTGTGCTTCATTCAGTTCTTCGCAAACCTCGGCTGGTATCCCGTGCTGTTCTGGACTTCGCTTTGGGTTTCCGATATTTACAAGCAGCGGACACCTCAAGGAGACCTCTCCGCCGAGGTGTGGCAGGCAGACGCCGTCCGCGCCGGCTCCCGTGCCCTCTTCCTGCAAGCTGTGATCACGCTGGGCGTGTCCATTGGCGCACCATTCCTCGTTACTGAATCTGGCATTAGGTCTCACAACGCATGTTCTGCGCTCGCACGCGATGACGATGAAGACGACGACGGGCGCGGCACACCCAACTCCGCCCAGTGGAAGAGGGAAGAGGAGGAGCGCGCACGCCTCCCCCTCGGCGAACGGGTGGCCGCGTCTGTCGCGGCTGGGATCAAGGCCGTCCGGTCGGGCTCGGCGTGGGCGTTACCCATTCCCGGTTTGACCCTCATTCGCTTCTGGACGATAGGGCAGGCCATCTTTGCCATTTGCATGTTCCTGACTTGGTTTACGACGTCAGTTGGGGGCGCCTACTTTGTCATTGCGACAACAGGCATCTCATGGGCGTTGGCAGGGTGGGTGCCATACGCGCTGTTGGGCGAGCTCGTGCTCGTCGACCCGTCGAATGAGCCGCGCACTTTGCGGAATGCGCCAGTCTCCGAAGTCGTCTTCTCCGCGGACGCAGAGCGCAGCCTCGCGGGTGTGCACTCGCGCTCGCATTCACGCGCGCTCTCCCACGAGACGCTGGGGGACGGCCCACATCCCCTCTCGCGTCTCGCGATACCCGGGATGGAGCCGCCCGATATCGACGAAGACACGACTGTAGTCCTGCGACACTCGGGCGAGAGCGAGCGTTCTGTCTCGCCCGGGTCCCCCGCGCCAGCGGCCGAGTCGAGCACGGCGGACAAGGCGGGCCTGATTCTTGGTATCCACAACGTCTTCATCGTCCTCCCCCAGTTCCTCATCACGGCGATCAGCGCCGTCATTTTCCACATGATGGACGCTACGCCTGCTCCGGTTCCCGGCGAGAAGGAGGCGCGGGCGGCCACAGACGGCCCAAGCTCGCCTGATGCTGTCGGGCTCGTGTTCCGCATTGGAGGGGCGAGCGCCGCAGCTGGCGCGTACCTCTCCTACCGCCTGGCGCGGCGGTGGCAGCGCGGCGAAGCATAGACTTGTACTGTATCTGTATTCATTGGCCAGTTCACTAGGGAGAGCACGCCGAAATGGGACCATATGCCTCGATGTCTTGCTCGAGAAGCCATCGTGCGTCGTATCCAAGCGACCGTCTGCCCACCTTCTGACCCGCAGAGCCTGAAAGTGTAATGCCACCGGCCGAAGGTCTGCGGCAACCTCATCAGATCACCAGTCAATTCCCAGGCACGCCACGTTCTCTTGGCAGCCTAATGTGAATCCAAGATGTGCCTCTACGTTCCGCGTTCTCTCCTCTCTTCGGGGCGTGGTGAGGACATGACGTTGGTACTCGACTTGGCTCGGGTGGTCCCTGCGCCTTCGCCGCGCCCGCTGATGAACCGCGCACTCATATACTCGCGCCTTCGCCGCGCCCTCATGCTCACGCCCTCGCGTTCTCATCTTCATGCTGATCCTCCTCGCCATCTTCGTCGGCCTCAGTGAGCCTCCTCCCTCCCCGCCGCTGACACAAGGCCACGCGGCCCTGCTCCCGCGCGACGGCGCCTGCGTCACCGGCCAACTCGAGTGCTTCGGGAGCTGCATCGACCCCGCGTCCGACAACACGCACTGCGGCGCCTGCCGCACCTGGTGCGTGGCGGAGCCGGGGCGGCCCGCGGCCGCCTGCGTCGCGGGGCGGTGCATGTGTCCCTCGGGCCCCGCGTGCGGGTGGACGAGCGGGCCCGGCTTCTTCTGCCCCGACCTGTCGTCGCACATCGGCCACTGCGGCGCGTGCGGGAACGCGTGTGCGTCCGGCCCGTGCGTCGACGGCACATGCACGACTTGCGCCGGCACGTTTTGCGCCAGCGGGAGCGGCGGGAGCTGCGTCGACGTGCTGTCGGACGCGGCGCATTGCGGCGCGTGTTTCCAGCGCTGCGACGCCGCGTCCGGCGCGACGTGTGTCGACGGCGCATGCGCGTGCCCCGCAGGCCGCACGAGCTGCGGCTTCGCGTTCGCGCAGCAGTGCGTAGACGTGCTGCGGGACGCGGCCAACTGCGGCGCATGCGGCGTGCGGTGCGACGCCGCGTGTGTCGACGGCGCGTGTTGTCCGCCCGGACAGGAGGATTGCGGCGGGTGCGTCAACACCAGGAATGATAATGCGCACTGTGGGGCGTGTGGCGTGGCGTGTGGCGACGGGGAGAATTGTTGGGACGGGGTGTGCGTCCCGTCTGGCGCTGGGTGGGGCGCCGGACAGATGGATTGTGGCGGGTGCGTTAATCCCGCTAACGATAATGCGCATTGTGGCGCGTGTGCGGTCTCGTGTGCGCCGGGGAGTAACTGTGTCGAGGGAGTGTGCGTGTAGATTGAGAATGTATGGACAGTTGGAGAATTGATGGGCGGCGGCAAGGGTGCCCGGCAAGGCGAGTGACATCGGCGTCCTCTTCCATCAGGCTCCGGCTGCCATCCTCGATCCACCTGGTGCGCTCAAAATACGTAGCATAAGTCGTACAAATACACCAAATCTATCGCAGCCGCGCCTCGGCGTCCAGCTCACGCTCCTCGCAGACACATACCCTCCTCCCACTCCTCCCCCCTACTCCTCGCCCACCACAAAGTCCTTGCGGATCACGCCACCCTGCACAGCGTACCCGTTGGTCCGGAACAGCGCCGAGGCAAGGTACGGCCGCACATCAAACACATCGACGGCCTTGGCGCGCGCCTCGAGCTGAGGCACCCGCACCTCGACGTGCGGCGGCACGGTGCCGTGCACGTTCCAGTGGATCTGGACGCGCTCCTTGACAAGCTGGCCCAGCAGGAAGTTGAGCAGCTCGTCCGTGTCGCCCGTCGCAGTCACATACTTGCGGAAGCCGCGCTGCAGCGACTTCTTGATGCTCATCTTCTGCGCGTTCACAAAGCTGCCAACCGTCACGCGGATCGCGAGCTCGATGTCGTCCGAGCGCACAAACTCGCGCAGATGCATCTTGGCCGAGGCTTCCGCCATGCGGATCATGCTCTCCAGGTGGCGCACCGTGATGGGGAACGAGCCGGTCGCGAGCGACTCGCGGCGCAGGTCTGCGTACAGCCGTGCGAGCTTGTCCTGGTCCAACTGGTAGAGCTTGGGCCGGACATTGTCCTTCGCGTACATGATGTACTTGCGCAGCAGGTCCTGCTCGATGATCTGGGGTCAGGTACTTCGCAAGTCACCAATGCTTACATCTGCGTCAAGGATCGTGTTCACGGCCACCTCCTCAGCCGCCTCAAAGTTGGGGTGCGAGCGCGTGTGCGAGCCAACAACAAACTGCGCGAGCATTTCGTCCTGCACAGGGTCCACCGGGTCCTTGACGACGCAGAGCACATCGAAACGCGACAGAATTGGCTCAGTGAGCTCAACATTCTGCTGGAACGGAATGGTGGGGTTGTATCTTCCGCCAATGGGGTTAGCGGCGGCGACAATGGCGCAGCGCGCCTGCAGCGTCGTGACGATGCCCGCCTTCGAGATAGAGATTGACTGCTGCTCCATCGCCTCGTGAATCGACGTGCGGTCGGCGTCATTCATCTTGTCAAACTCATCGATGAGGCAGTGCCCCTTGTCGGCGAGCACGAGTGCGCCACCCTCCAGCGTCCACTCGCGCGTAACGGGATCCTTGCGCACCGAAGCAGTGAGACCGACGGCACTGGCACCTTGACCCGTGGTGAAGACGGCGCGATTTGCTGTCTTCTCGACGTATTTCAGGAACTGCGACTTGGCGGTACCGGGATCACCTAGAAGGAGGACATTTATGTCACCACGAATACGGTGCTTGCGGTTAATATCCTTGGCGCAGCCGCCGAACAGCGACAGCGCGATTGCCGTCTTGATATCGTCATGTCCATAGATACTGGGCGCGATCGACTTGACGATCCGCTTGACGATGCGGTCGTCCCTGCTCAGCGACCGGATAACCTTCTCCTCTTCAGCAGTGATGTTAATCGAGGCGTACGCATCCTCGGCCTTGGTGATGTGGTTGGCCTCGAGCACCGTCGCAAACACAGGGAAGCCGTTCTTCGAGTTGAGCGCGGCGTCAAAGTTGTTCCGGTACGTGCCGGTGATCTCAATTTCCTCGCCCGGCTTGGCGACGTCGATCAAGTCCCACATGAGCACGACCTCGCGGTGGCGCGGCAAACGCCCAGCCGGCACTGACCCCGGGCTTTCTTGCAGCGTGAGCTTTTGGAAGTTGCGATACACTGTTTGTTCCGAATTGACCATGAATGGGCCGCGCGAAGAGCAGTTGGAGCAGAAGGACAGCTTGAGCTCCTTGTGGATGTCCTGGTAGAAGGGACCGAGCGTGGCGCCGCACTTCTGACAGTCAAACTTGACGTACTTGAGCTGTGGGAAGACGCCGGTGCGGCGCGTGACCACACCCTTGACGCGCACGAGGCAGTTGAGGTTGTCCTGGCGCAGGTCGCGCAGCGAGATAATCGTGGGGAGGTCGCTGATGCGCACGTGGATCTCGGAGTGAATGTTAGTGTACCCGGGGAAGTACATGAGGACGGCCTCGAGAGCCACCTCGTCGAAGATGGCGAGCGTGGCCTGAGGGCTGTTGCCGAGGAAAAGGGCGAGGGCGGGACGCGCATCAGCCAGCTGGACATAGCTAACCTCGAGCGACTCGGCGTTAGTCTCGCCGAGCGTGCGGATGCGAGCGCCGTACACCGAGGCACCATTTTCGTCCGTGTACGTGGTGAGGAAGGTGCGGAAGTGGGTGGCAACAGCGCGGCGGACCTGCGGGATCGCGACCCACTCCGCCACCGTTCGCGCCTTGATGTCCGCCAGATGCTCTAGCGACATCTCTTCCTCCTCGGCCATCTCTTCCGGCAGCTCGTCGTAGCGCCGGCGGGCGTGCCGGCTGATGCCCGAAAGCAGGCCTGCGTCGCCGGAGAAGTCGTCCCCGTCCTCGGACTGCAAGAACTCGGGCATGTGCGTGCGTGCGCGCCGCACACCGCCCACGCCACGGTCGCGCCGCGCCATCTCACGTTCCGCTGCTTGACGCTGCGCCCGGGACATCTCGGGGATCGACGAGCCGTCGTCAATGTCGATGTCCGAGTACCGGTCGAGCCGCTGGTTGCCGGCGTAGTCGTCGTACATTGTCTCGTCGTTGAAGAGGTCCTCGCCGTCGTCGTCCTCCTCGTCATCGTCGTCGGGCAGGTCACGGCGTCCAAGAGCGCGCATGTCCTCTTCCTCGTCCTCAATGTCTTCTTCGTCCTCATAGTCGGCGCCAAAGCCGCCGGGCGGGGAGGAGCCTGGAAGGTCAAGCGCACGGATGGGTGGTGAAGAGTTGAGCAAGTGATGGGGGAGGGGGGTTGAGCCGCCTTCGTCGTCGCGCCTGCGCTTGTTGCGCTGGGATCTTTGAGTGGGAGTTGTGCTTGGTGAGGACATTGTGATGGATGATGGATCGATGGAGTGTGTGGTTGAAGAACTGGCCCAGTAATGGAATGCTCAGGGGAACAATGTCGACCAGGGGGGGGGGGGGGGGGGGGGGGGGGAGGAGGGAAGGGGCCGAGAGCGGCGACGAGGACAGACGCGTCAAACGCGCACTTGTGACGCGTCGAATGTATATACTCCCCCCTTTTTTGCGCGCAATTAACATGAAAGCTCATGTTGTCACGTGATATCGATTCTATGGTCCGTCCAAGGTCGTCCAGTCAGTCAGTCATCCATCAGTTCCCAATTCCCAACATCGTCCTCCTGTCGCGACATGCGTCACCGCACCGCCGCGCCGCCTCGCCGCCTCACCACTGCCCATGTGAATATGTCCATGCACAACAACCCTCAAGTAAGACTGTGACTGTTTGGAACGAACAACAAAGTACAAGAGTTTAAAAAGCGAAAGGAATTGTTATAATGTCCGTATCAGCGACAACCTGGCTGCTGGCGTGCTCGTTGTGCACCGATTACTCTTATGTGTTCGGATGGATCGATGGGTGATGGGTAATGGGTAATGGGTGATGAATGTACTGGAGGGTACGTCCCTCATGAATCCCGCGTCCTGCGCGCCTCCCTCGGTATCCACTCCGCCTCAGGCTTCACGTACAGCCCGACGCATGCGCGCCGTGAAATCAGACACGCGCTTGGTCGGCAACGTTCTGCGGCGTAAAAGACCTGTGGCGCCCTGCGCCGGCGGTTGTGGCGAGTTGGCACGTCCTTCACCAGACTGCAACACTGTCCGTGAGCGATCCGCGCCCGTCGTTGGGCGAGCCGTAGTCGAACCTGCTGCCGAGTGCGCGCGGCCCATTACTGAGGTTCTAAGCATCCCGGGTCTATTCTCGAACATGACATATCCGCCAGCCGGGGCGTCATCGTCAGAGTCGGACGGCTGCATCACGTCCACGGTAGGGACACCCTGGCCCTGTTGCGTCGCGGCAATCGGCGTCCTTGTCCTCTCCCGTGATCGGCGCGGAGGTCGCGGTGGAATGATAGATTGCAGGGCGACCGAGGCGGCCCCGACGGATGCAGTGGGTTCGGGAGATTGTGGGAAAGGCGATGTTGCGCGGTGTGGAGACGTCGCGCGCTCTATTATGTAGTATCCGCCAGGGGGTGCGTCGTCATCCGAGTCTGATGGCAGCATAAAATCAGTGTCCGCACGGATCGGTGGTGGCCGCTGCAGAGTGAGTGACGATCGCGACCCTGATGCAGACGGTGCCATCGAGACAGGGGAAGGCACCATCGCTGGTGGAGCAGGAGACGCCGCCGTTGTGCTGGGATCGCTAACTGGTGCTGGCGATTTCGACATGGTGCTGGGCAGTGGACCGCCGCTCGTCGTTGGGACATGATGAGGCTCTGGCGAGTGCGCCAGAGGCTGGCCTGCGAGGATCGAAGACGGCACAGAAGATGAGATTGGTTGTGGCGATACGACTGGGATCGGTATAGGGGCACGCTTCTGTGGTGACGCTTCGCGATCTTCGGGGATAGCTGGCGGTCTTGGCGAGTGGGTGAACGGTACACCTTCTCTGCTGGCTCCAATGGCAACACTGTCGGATGGGCTTCTGATGGCGGGCACCTGGACGGCCTTGCTCGAGCTCTCGGCGGCAGCAGACTTTGAGCGGCGCGAGGCATGCGCATGGGACATGCGTTTCGACATGCCAAAGACAAAGTGAGCCTGATTCTCGATCAGGAACTGGACGACGTCTTTTGATATGACACTCTCGGCAGGGCGCATGTCGTGCCCTGGGTGCGACAGCAGCCCTGGCTGAAAGATGACGGCGAGATTGGCTGCCGTCATGAGATTCTTGTCCGAGTCACGCGCAAAGATGCCCAAGAGGTCGAGGAGGTAGAGGAGAAGATATTGGTTCTCACGAGGCATTTCGCGAACGAGCCGCTTGTATTCGCGTACCCTTTGCTCTGGTGGATGGTCCGACACCTGGATGGCACGGAACGCATTATAGTAGCCCCATGGGATGACGGGCTCAGTCATTTGTGTAAGATAGCGCCGGAGAATGGTGGCGACGTCGTGCGGCGTGTATGGCGATGTCTCCCAGTTGAGGTCTATGCCGTACTGCTGCGTGAGTATGCCGTCATTTCACTGCAACAAATGCCCTCTCGTCATCGCTACTCACCTTGGGCCCCTCGTCGAATCGAAGTTGCAACTCGCGCATGCGCTTGGCTGACCCCGAGACGCGGAAGACGCCCTCAATGTCCGTCTTGTTCTTCAAGTAAGCCCCGCAGCGCCCGACGATGATGGGCACCTCGCCCCACACGTAAAGTGAACCGTCAGGGGCGCTTGTCGAGATCTGCATCGCCGCATAGGTGAGGACGCGGGACAGCGACACGCCAAAGACACGCCGAGTGTTCATCGTCTGTGGCGCGCGGCGGAAACTGCGCTCTGGGACGGGTTCGCTGCTTGTTTTAAAAGTCTTCCACCAGTTGCGCAAACTCAATGAACTCTGTTCTCGCTCCGTCATTTCGCGACTCGTCTTGCGCTCCATGATCAGTTCTTTGGTCGACGATTCTGGTGCTTCGGGTTGCTCCTGGACCTTGTCCTTGTCCTTGTCCTTGTTATCCTTATCCTTGCCCTTTTCCTTGTCACGCGTCGATCGGCGACGCGATGCCAAGCGCCGAAGGCCACCGGCTACGCCACCTTCCTTGTTCATCTCCGAGTCCTCAGTGGTTGGTGTAGGAGGGGCAGGTGAGGGCGTGGGGGAGGTAGACGCGCTGGGGGCCTGGGCGGCGTCGGCCGCGCTTGGAGGCGCGAGGCCAGCCTCGATGTTGAGGGCCGGCGTCACCCCGACGTCTCCAGGTATGTAAGTGTCGGCAGATGGATAGGGAACGCGGCCGCGCGCTGGGGAGGGAGAAGGTCTACTCGAGACCATCTGTGCGGCGCGAAACGCGAGCTCGTGAGCAACTCGGACCTACGTGCTTGCGCGGCGTAGGTTCGAGCGCGAGAGCTAGTGCCGCCGCGGTGCCGATGGGAAGGGAAAAGGGGAGGAGGGGAGGAGGTCGATGAGGGGTGGTTCTGCCTGTCGATTGGCGCGCAATGTGTCACGCGCGTGCGACTGGTATGGCCCGGTGTTGACGGTTTGGTGAAAATGCGGTGCAATGAGTTGGGAGATTGGGAGGAGGGAGATGAGGGCTTGGGTGATATTTGACGTCGGCAGGTGCGTTGAGAGTGCAGTGTTATGGGAACAATGCGATCGATGCTGCAATGTGCGTGAAAGTCGTGGAATAAGGTGTAGCGTGGACACGGACGTGGGCGTGGTGGTGATGCTGTGACGTGGGAATGGGAGGGGCGGAGGGAGAGGTAGAGAGTAGTGAGATGTAAGAGGTAGGAGGAGGAGATGTGACTGTAGAGCGAGTGTTGAAGTGTGTGGGAGAGAGATGGATGGGGGGTAAGGGGGAGGTGGGTGGCGAGTGTAAAAGGGTAAGGTGGCGTGATGAAGGGGAGGAGGGAGGAGAGAGAGAGAGAGAGAGTGATGGAGATATGGAGGGGGAGGAGGCGGCGAGGCGGAGAATGAGGCGACTGGGGGGCTGAGGGAGGGAGGAGGGAGGAGGAGGAGGAGGAGGAAGAGGGCGCGAGGATGATTCCAGCTCTCCACGAGAACAAGGCTTCCGTATGGCGTTGTGATTCCAGAGATGCAAAAGCCACAGGTGTCGATCCAAACAAGGGGAAATTCGAATTCGAATGATGGGCGTGTCTTCGCCAACTTGGAGTCGAGTGGATTACGGGGTTGTTGCAGAGAGTGGGGGGTGCGGTGGCGGCGATGGTATGCGTGTCGATTGCTCGATTGTCACTTGTGCCTAGGATGAAGCGTTTACAGAGGGAGAATGGAATGAGCGACTTGTGGCCGCGAGGGCCCCGTTGTAGAGGGGGAGGGACGGGGAGGGGGAGCGGAGGGGGAGGAGGAGGAGCGAGAGTGTGATGATGATGATGATGAGGAGAGGATGAGAGGGAGAGAGGGAGAGGGGAAAGAGAGAAAAGAGAAAGAAGGAGAGGAGGAAACAAGGAGGATGGAATGTGGGTGGTGGAGGCCTCTGCTCGCCAGCTCCAGCCTCGCTACTAATTGTTTTTGTGTTAAGATGTAATGACTTTGCGCGGTATGCGTGGGAGAAATACACAGAGTAGTGACGTGATGACGCAGGAGATTGAGTGCATGGGTGTGGGTGGGTTCCAGCGTTCCGTTCAATTGGGTGCGAGTTTGTTCTTGCCAGTTCGTGTTGCGTGTCGGGAGCGCGTCGCAGTCGCAGCGCGCAGCGCGCAACGATCAAGATGAGATCCTGGAGCGTGGCTAGAGTACAGTGTAACTCAAACCAGTGAGTGATGCGATGCAGTGACGTCGAATTTTGGCGGAAATGGAGGGAGAGACTTGGCATAGTCTACGTCCTCTTGGCTTTTCCCTCTCTCTCAACTCTCAAGGCGAATTGCGGAACGCAGATTGAAGAGATATTGATACCTCCTCACTCCTTCCGCCTCCCGCAGTTTCGTATGCACAAGGGTTCTCTGTTGTTTTCTCCGCCACATGTCCCCTGTAGATCACACGCGAATATCTTATAGTGCATGCAAAGCTGGCAGCTGGCAGCTGGCAGCTGGTCAGGTCTGGCAGATATGCAGATATACAGACATGCAGACAGAGGCTGCCCGGCATATATGTAGGCATTATCATGCCGGGACATGGGAGGGACATGGCTGGTCCCAATCCATCTTTCGCCTGCGTCTACATTGCCCCATTGAGCCCGAGCTAGCCCAATGACGACGGCCACGACTTGCACTATGCCTCTAGCTCTCCCCGTTCTATCGTTCATTCCCCTTGCCTATGACGGCTACCCCACATAGATAGGCTTTTCTGCAATATGCAATGCACCAGCTCTGTCTTGGAATCTTGTGCAGCCCCAATCTTGCCTCCAGCCACCGATCCCTCTGCCCCTCTGCCCTCCTCCAGCTCCCATGATCCCATGACGCACGCAACCAAAATAATGCGCCAAGACACTCTACAATCTAATGCTATGCCTCTGCCCCCTCCGCCCCCGCATCCTTCTGCTCACCCGCCTCACCTCCCACCGCCTTGGCCTCGCCGTCCTTGCCTTTCCTGCGCTTTTTGGACAGGTACGCGCTCACATCCACGCCCTGCGACTTGAGCCGCCCGAGCTGCTTCGGCGCCATGCTCTCAAACTCGCTCGTCGGCGGCGTCGCCGCGCCCTCGGGGCCCGCCATCTCCTCGTCCTCTTCGAACCCGGGCCAGCGCGGAAACAGCCCCAGGTTGGGGTAGAGGTTCAAACCGGCTATAGCCTTGGCCGGCGCCGTCGGAAGCACGGCTGCGGCGAGCACAGCCATCAGCTCGGCATTGGACGCGGACGCGTCGTGCATCTGGTGTCAGCCGCGCCAGCCGCGTGGTCTCGTCGCAGACCGCGAGAGCGCAAGCCCGCCAAGCCCGCCAATCGCGATTGCAAACTCACCTGCCCATCGGCAGCAATCTCGACCGCCGCGAACATCGACCCCGTCGAACCCTTGTACGTCGCATCGAGCGCCAGCAGCAGCTGGCTCGCGCTGCCCGGCACGCGCGCGAAGCCGAGCACGGGATGCGGAACGGGGAAGGAGTGCACGACCCCTCCCGCGAGCGGGACGGCATGCAGCGCCGTGCACCCCTCCGCGAAGAACACGAGAACCGTCTCCCCGTCGACCGCGACGCTGTCGATGCGCTCGATGCACACGTTCTGTCCGGTGGGGTACATCATCCCCGGAGGGGGGACGCAGAAGCCGGGGTCGCGCGGGTCGTCGCTCGCCGCCGGCCCGTTCTTCGCTGCGGCCGCGAGCGCGTCTGCGCGCTTCTTGTTCTTGATCTTGCGCGCGGACGGGCGGACGCAACGGTAGTCGAGCACAGAGGGGATGTCGATGCGGCGGAGGAGCGCGCCGCTCGTCCAGTCAAAGAGGAGGAGGGTGGACTCGCCGCCGCCCGCGACTAGGTGGTTGGGGTGGGATTCGGGCACATGGATCGCGGAGACGAAGCTGGTGTCAGTGGACTTGTATTGAAACCCCATCCATCGCCACTCCGCGCATCACTCACCCCTCGCTGCCCCAGAGGTACTTGTCAATCACGTAAGACTTGGGAAACCTGCTGACGCGGATATGCTCGTCCCTGTCTGCCGTGATGATGCGCTTCCCGTCGTGCGTCAAGACATGCTGCGACACCGTCGACACATGGCCCAGCAAAAAGTCCGCGTCCGGGTTCAGCGACGGGTCCGCCTGCTCCTTGAAGCCCTGCACGCGCTCGCCCGCCGCCCGTGGCTCGAGGGGGTATCTGGCGTCAGCGCGCCCCGCACCAGGCGTACAAGAACACATCGCCGACTTTGTCCGTCACGAGAATGTCGTTGGCCGGGGTGAGCGAAAGGCACGCGACGCGTTTGAGCGTCGTGCGCGTCGAGCGGAGCGTAATCTTCCCGTCCTTGACGTCCCACACGCGCAGCGTCTTGTCGTCGCCTGCGCTGACGGCGACGGCGCCGTCGGCGCTCAGTGCGAGTTTGCGGATGAGGCCGGATGTGGAGCCTTCGGCGGGCGACGAGGCCGCGGGGTACGCGTGCAGGCTTGCGCCGCTCGCAAATACGGTCACTGGCGCCGCTGAGGCAGTGGCGATAGCCGTGGGGGGGAGGGGGAGGGCCATGGTGGTGAGTGCAAGGCGGTTGTTGCTCGTTGTGTGCGTTGTGTGAGGCATGCTGGCCCAACTTTTGGTGCGAGTGACGTGTATTTGATCCCGCACGGATGTGCCTGATATCGAGCGGTGACGCTGCGGTGAGTGTTCTGCCAGGGTGCGCCCAACTGCCCAGGGGATTGGACTGGGAGGGCAAGGTTGGACGCGAGGCTTGTTTATGCACCCAGCATCCCCTCCCTTTCTCATTTCTCATCCACTCACTCACTCATCTCATCTCACACCACCCACCATGACTGCCGACTCTACCACCGACCCCACCCCCGCCCTTGCTGTCGACGCCACCGAGGCTGGCACCAAGCGAAAGGCCGAGGAGGTCGAGGCCCTCGTCGACGACGATGCCAAGAAGTGAGTCACCGCACGGCGGTAGGGTGATGGTACGGCACGCATGCTGATGTTCAGGCAGAAGACTGAGGGCGATGCCGAGGCTCCCAAGGATGCCGAGGAGGATGCTGAGCCTGCCGACAAGGGCAAGGGCAAGGGCAAGGCCCCTGCCGAGGAGGAAGAGGAAGAGGACGAGGAGGATGACGATGATGACTCGGACGACGAGCTCATTGTCCGCGGGACGCGTAAGCGCAAGCAGGTGGACTACAGCTCGGTAAGTGTGCCACGAGGCCGAGGGGTGTGTTGGGTGAGGGCGCGAAAGCACCGTTTAGAAGGAGGGAGAAGGGGGATGCGTGAGTTGGTGGATGTGCAAGTGGACGGCTTTCAGGAGGGGCAGGTGGCTGGGATGGAGAGCGAATGGGTGCAATGATGAGTGGCTGGGGAGGATGTGGAGGGCGTTGGGTCCGTTGAGATGCGAACGATAACTAACCTTTAGGCCGAGGCTCTCGCCGCTGCGGGCCTCAACGAGAACGAAGAGGAGGAGGAGGATGCCGAGGACGATGGCGAGTTCATCGGCGGCCCCGATGAGGAGGACGAGGACGTCGCCGACGACGCCGAGGAGGCTGAAGAGGCTCCTGGGGCTGCCGATGATGACGACGCCGAAGAGTGATCACTCTAGACGTTAGAGCTTGTAGCAATCCGTGTCATTGTGAACATGTAAACCGCCCGTGCCGCAATCTTAGGTCTTGCCTTGGTCATGGTTGTCCCCCTTTGCTCAATTGCTCTCCATGCTTTTTTTGCTCCCCTTGCGCGCTTGCTCCTCCTTCTCTTGTTCCCCTTGCGCAATTGCTCTCCCTGCTCTTGCTCCCCTCGCCCGCTGCCAGGAGTGACTGATGCATCCTTGACGTCTATCGAGCCGCGATACGCCGCCGCGCCTCCTCCTCACGCGTGCGGAAGAACGAAAGCTCAGCCTGTAACCGTGGATGCGTAGGCGCGCCGGGCCCAGCCACAAGCTCGTGCATCACCGCCTCGTAGATCGAGGACAAGAACGAGTGACGCGCCGGCACGTCCTTGATCTTTCCTGCCTGGATCTGGATGAGGCGTGTGAGCTCCGCCCGGAGACGAGTCATGCTGGCGTAAGAATCTCTCCTTCGCCTCCTCCACCCGCGCACTCACCTCGAGAACATCATCGCCTCCTCCGCCTCGTCGCTGAGTGCAACGACACAAGCGAACAGCGCGGCGTAGCGTACGGCAACGGCGCGCACAGCGGCGTCCTTGACACCCTTGCCAAACACGCCCGCGAGGCCTTTGCCTTCCGCCTCGTTCGCGAGCGCCTTCAGGCTCTCGATGTGCGCATCCATCGCCTTGCGGTACAGTGGCCAGAGCGCCATCTTCCATCCTGTGAGGAAGGGTACGAGGGGGAGCGCGCCGCGCCCCTCGGCGATGGAGAGGAGGCGGTCGTTCGCGCGGATCATAGTGAGGAGGGGAATGGCGGGCGGCGGGGTGGCTATGCACGCGTTGAACAAAGACGTGGCGGACTCGAGACCCGAGTCGAGGACCTCGTGCCAAATCCGCTCAGCATCCTTGAGCTCTGGCTCGGGGGTGCGTCGCGCACGCGTGCTCAGCCTGCTGCGCCCTGTATCGGAGACGGGGCCGAGAACAGGCGAATCGAGCGGCGTGCTCTCGTGACTCCGGACTCGCTCGGGCCGCTCGCGCGCAAGTGCTGGCCGCGCGAAGAAGCGCACGATAAATGTGAACTCGGAACTGGCGTTGTCCAGCACCACAAGCCCGAGAGAGCGGAAGACAGCTTCGACGGGCAGCGCAAACTTGACATCGTCAGCCTGGTAGGCGAGCACGACTGCGCTTGCCTCGCCCTCGCCTTCGAGGTCCGCAAACTGCAGGCGATCGTACATCGCCTTGATTCCCGGCGGTGTTTTCTTGACGTCGGCAAGATCCTCGGCGCTAACGCTGCCGATGAGGTCCGGCTTATCCGGCGCACGCGCCTTGATCGCGCCCAACGCACGCGCATACCGGCGTATCCCGGTCTCGAAATATGCTCGCGCAGCATTCACGTAGCCCCGCTCGACCATCTTGGCGTGTCGTGGGCTCTGGCGGAGGAGGAAAGCGTAGAACGGCTGGTATTTTAGCAGGAGGGACGTCTGCATGACCGCGAGGTTGGTGGAGAGGCCCTTGGACACCGAGCGGAGCGGGCGGATGAGGGTGAGGAGGAAGGGTGGGAGTGAGTGGAGCGCCTTAAGCGCCAGCGCCTCGACGACGCTCTCGAGCTCGCGTGCAGCCTTGACCTTACTGCCGCGCGCCTTGACGGCCGTCATTTTGTCTTCAAGCTCGGCGATCGCTTGAAGCCACATCTGGGGGTTGGCGCTGGGCTCGGTATCCCGGATCGTCAAGACCAGCGAGGTGGGAATAATCAGGTCGGACAAGAGAGCGTTGAGCGGCGGCAGGATCACGCGGCGCCCCTTGAGCTCACGCTCGATCTCGTCCGACCGCGCCTGCAGGTCTGCGATCTGCCCAGACACCTCGCCGAGGTTATCCTGAAATGTCGTGAGGTAGCTTGCGAGCGAGGTGAGGAGCTCGGCGGACGCCTGCAGTCAGCCCATGCCCTGCAGCAGGAGGACAGAGACATACTTCCACGCTCCTCTCGAGGTCGGTGTACTCCTTCTGTCGCCGCAAGACTGGGGTTAGCCCATGTCTCCATCACATGCCGGGGACACACAGAGCTCGCGGTCGGCATCTTCCTCGGCCTCGTCCAACAGCGGATCTGGTAATGGTGGCGGCGGTGGTGGCGATGGCTGCCTGCTTGGCCCGGGGCTGTCGAGAGTGACCTGGAGGCTGCTGCCTCTTGGTGGTGGCATGGTAGACATGGATGAGAGATGATGGAGCTGAAGCAGTGTGCTCGTGCTTGCTGGTCTGGTATGCCAAGGTCCAGTCGTCAGGGGCGGATGCATCGTCGTGGCGTGTCATTTCGACGCGTGCCGCATCCCATGTTCCACTCTCCACTCGTCTCCATCCACCAACACTACACAAAACTACCGGGATGTCTGAGCTGTTCAAAGACATCCCCGAGTTCGTCGAGGTAATGTCTCATGCTGCGCCGAGCTGACAACAGACGGACATCGGCGAGTCGCTCTCGGCGCGCACCGAAACATTGGGTATGCCTTCATTCTCATCCTCTCACTGCCCCGCCGGCGGCTAACCCCAGCTTCGTTCCGCGAGCTCGGCCCACCCGACCTTTGCCACGTCGTCAAGAGCTACGGCACCAAGGCGGCACAGAAGGACATTGCGAGCTATCACTACATGTTCGTCGCCCCGTTTCTCCAGCTCACACCAGCTCCGGGGCGGAGGCAAGCTCCTCCGCGTCTCTAGCTGCATATCTCAACTCGTTGCAATTCCACGTCGAGGAGACGCCAGCGTGGTTCGGCAAAGGATCGGGTTGGCGCGTACGGCACGGCACATACTGCTGCTTCAACGCGTTCTCGCGCGTCGACGTGCGCGTCGAGGTGAGGATTCCGGGCGGCGTCGACGCCTATGTCGTCGACCTGCGCGGCGAGCGTCACGAGGCCACACCGGAGATCTGGCAGGAGACGTACCTCTCAGCGCTTTTGCGTGCGATTCGTTACGCAGACGACGCGTCGTACCGTCTCGCAGGCTACCGGAAGCTCGACCCGATCACGACGGTCGAGGGCGAGGTGCGCTTCCTCAAGGCCGCCGAGGAGTTGTTCTTCAACGGCTGGCAGCTTGGCTCCGACCCCGAGGTGCAGGTCGCCACTGTGGTGAGCAACCACCTCACCGCGGGCATCATCAAGTACTTTTCCGACTCGTTCCGACTCGAGCGCGCCGCCAACCTCTTTGAGAAGATGTATGGGCGCGATCCGGAGGTCGCTGCCCTCCTGGCACAGAGCTACATCGGCATGAGTGCGTCTTCCTTTTCTCCCTAGCTGACATCAGACGAGGAGATCAAGGCGGTGCAGGTCATGAACGCGGCCCTCAAGCAGGTCCCGACGTCGTACCCAGTGCTGCTGACGCAGGTCGACTTCCTCCTGTCCAAGGGCAAGGCGGAGTGGGCAAGACAGGTTGCGCAGCAGGCAGTAAACTCCGCCCCGAGCGAGTTCACAACGTGGGCCAAGTTGAGCGAGGCGCACATCGCGCTTGGCGAGTTCGACAAGGCGCTCCTCGCGCTCAACAGCTGCCCGATGTTCACGTTCAACGAGCGCGACCTGCACCGCATGCCGACGCCGCGGCACAGTCATCTCCCGACGAAGAAGTTTATTGCCGACTCGGGCCTGATCGACGAGGAGAGCGCGCGAGACAACGAGGCGGACGTCGCCCTCCTCCGCCTCCCAGCCCCAGGGCTGCGGGGTACCTTTGCCAAGGCGTACGAGCTGCTCACGCTGCTCGTGTCCAAGATCGGGTGGGACGAGCTCCTCAAGACCAGGAGCTCGGTGTTCGTCATGGAGGAGGAGTACCGCGCGCACCGCACCGGCGCGAGCGTGGATGTGCGCGAGGAGAACGGGCATGCGGACGAGGACGCGAGCACGCGAGGCCTGAGCTCACCGCGGGGCGAGGGCGGCGAGGGCGGGGGTGAAGGCGAGGGCGAGGGCGAGAAGGGTGATGGCGAAGGAAGGGATGAAGCAGAAGGCGCCGAGGGCGGGATCGAGAAGCCGCCCGCGGCGCAGGAGGGGGAGGAGGGCGTCACAGTGGAGAGCTACGAGGGATCGGCATTTGCCAACAAGCGCTTGTGTGATCGGTGGCTCGACAACCTCTTCCTGGTGCTGTACGAGGATCTGCGCGTGTACACGATCTGGCGTGCCGAGGTGTCGCATTTCCAGCTGCAGCATATGAGCTATCGCAAGACAGGGACGGAGGTGAGTTGGGCGGGGGGAGAAGAGAAGAGGGAGAGGGCGTGGGTCGGAACGAAGTAGGGAGGGTGGGCGGGTGTGGGATCGGCTGTGGGAACGGCATGCTGACGCCAGTGGGAGATTCTCGGCGAGCTGGCGCTGCGACTGCATCACAAAGACGAGGCCAAGGACGCGTTCCAGCGCTGTCTCGAAGCCAAGTTCAGTGCGCGCGCGCTGCTGCGCCTGCTGGAGATGTACGCGGCCGAGGGCGACCTTGCGCGCACGCTCAACGCAGCCATCAAGCTCACGGCCTACCACCACCGTTGGTACATGGAGAGCGCGTACCCAAGTGCGATAGCACACGCGATCTTTACGCTCGGCCTCACACACGGCCTGAGCAAGATCGAGTACACGCTGCTGAGCATGAACCTGCCCGAGGGGATTTTCGTAAGCACACACAGCGGCGGCGCTCACTCCAGACGCTCATGCGCTCGTACCTCAACTACGGCAAGACGTTCCACGTCGAGGGCGCCGAGTACTAGCGATGTTAGATTATGCACCACTGACCGACGCGGGGAATAGTGCAGATGGTAGTCTACAACAGTACTGTCTATCAGTCGTCTAGTCTGGAGATGCGCCTCGTGTGCGGGGGCCGCGCCGTCGCCAAGTTGGCTGGCGGCTGACAATTGGATACCGCCTGCCTCGCTAATCCAATGCCTCGACAAATGCGGGCGTGGGCGCCTTCTTGCTCGGGTCGACGTAGGCGTACGCATGGCTGTCGTGCACGGCAAAGTCGGAGAGGGCGAGGGGGCGGACCTTGAACCCGTCCTTCTTGGCCGCTTCGAGCCCGCTCCCGCCCCGCTCCCGCATAAACTCGCGGACGGGCACCATCGCTGCGTTCCGACACGTCTCTTTGAGGTCCGAGCCCGAAAGGCCGTCGGTGCGGCGCGCGAGCTCGTCGATGCTAAACTCTGGTGCGAGCTTGGTATGCGCGAGCATCTGGCGTCAGGCCTCGCCACGCCGCCACTCACCAAGTTGAGAATCTTGACGCGCTGCTCGAGGTTCGGCAGGCGGATGGGGAAGCGCTTGGGCATGCGGCGCAAAATCGCGGGGTCGATGTCGTTGGGGCGGTTCGTGGCGCCGAGCACGAGGATTCTGTCCGTGCCGGACGTAAGCCCGTCCCACAGCGTCATAAACTCGGCCTTGAGCATGCCCGTGACTTCGTGGTCGGCTTGGCTGCGCTCGCGGAAGAGCGAGTCGATCTCGTCGATGAATATGATCGAGGGCTGGAGCTTGCGCGCGAGCGAGAAGAGGCCGTTGACGAGCTTGTTCGACTCGCCGAACCACTTGCTCGTCAGGCTCGAGAGGGGGAGGTTGATGAATGTTGCGCCGGACTCTTTCGCGAGCGCCTTGGCGAGCATCGTCTTCCCGCATCCCGGGTGTCCGTAGAGGAGCACGCCGCGGGGCGCGGCGAGCAGCGAGCCGCCCGCCGCGAAGAGCTCGGGGTACGTCAGCGGGTAGATGACGGTTTCGCGGAGCGAGGAGATGATGTCGTCCAGCCCGCCGATGGACTCGAACGTCGTGTCGATGCTCGACGGCGGGATGATCTCGCCCGCGATCGTGCTTTCGTACTCGTCTAGATCGAGGGCCGCCAGCTGCTCCTTCGACAGCCCGGACTGCGAGAGCAGGCTCTCCCCCTTCTCCTTCTTCTTCGAGGGCTGTGTATCCGAGATCGAGGAGAGGACGTATCTCAGCGCATAGTATAGCGCGACTTGCGAGGCGGCGAAGAACGCCACGTCCATTACGACGCGCCCGACATCGCGTTGAGACGGCATGGTGGGGGGAGTTAGGTGGCAAGAAAATGGATGGAGCCGAAAGCGAAACACGCCGGCACGGTGGACGACATGAGCGCCGCATCTCAGCCGCCGGCGGAACCGTACCCGGATTAGGCGGGCAGGTAGGCGTCCGAAACTTGCGTCAGCAGCATCCACACCCCCCACGCCGCTCAGGCACCAACTCTGGCTGGTCTACAAGAGTGATGCATGCTAATGATTCCAATGCTATGTTTCGTCTAGGGGTATGATCTCCTCCTCCGCCCTCCCCGCTACGCCGAGGCAGCGATCTGCGCCTCCTCAACAGCTCTCACGGGCGCCTCTGAGGGCAGCGTCTCGCGCCAGCGCGCAGCCACGTCTGTCCCGCGGAACACCTCGGCAAGCACCTGCCGCACATCGTCGACAAACACAAACTCGATGCCCTCCTTGACGGACGCGGGCACATTCTCGTCAATGTCCGACTTGCACGCAAGTGGCACCACGAGCTTCTTGATGCCGGCGCGGTGTGCGGCCAAGATCTTCTCCTTGAGCCCGCCCACGGGAAGGACCTGGCCATGCAGCGAGATCTCGCCCGTCATGGCCACGTCGGGGTCCACCGGCGTCTTGGTGAGCAGCGACACGAATGCCGTCAAAATCGCCGTGCCGGCCGACGGGCCCTCCTTGCCAATACCGCCCTCGGGCCTGGCGTCAGATGTGTTCTTCCCCAACCTCGCCCCTTCCATTTTCCAAGGTCGCTCCGCGCCGCTACTCACATGTGCAAATGGATATCCCGGTCGTTCACAGTCAGATCCGCCTCGCTCTTTGTAATCCCCAGCAAGAACGCATTGCTCTTGACCCACGACAGGGCAATCTGCGCACTCTCGCGGATAACCTCGCCCAGCTTGCCCGTGAGCTGCAACCCGCCCTTGCCAGGCATGCTCGTCACCTCGATGGGCATGACCGACCCGCTCCCGTTGCCAAGATAGCCCAGGCCCGTGCTCACGCCCGCCGGCGGCGCCTTGTTGTACAGCCGGTCCTTGTGGTACACGGGCGGGCCGACGTAGTCCTTGAGGTTGTCGACGCCGACGCGCACATGGATGCCCTCGGGCACGGTGAGGGGCTGCCGGACTGCTGTTGTCGTCTTGGTCGTCTCGGCGGCGTCAGACTTTTCGTCACCGGGCAGACGCTCGCTCTTAGGCTTAGCGTCGGGGGTCTGCGTCTCCACTTCGCCCTCCTTGACCTCCTCCTTCGGAATCTCTGCAGCCGGTTCAGGAAGCGCCTCTTCCCCGAGGTCGTTCACAATCTTGAACGCCGCCTTGCGGTACACTTTGTCGATGTGCTTCTTCAGGTTACGGACGCCCGACTCGCGGCAGTACCAGCGGATCAAAGTCTCGATCGCCTCGGGCGTGATCTCAATGTCGACGTCCTTGAGCCCGGATGCCTCCTTGGCCTGCGGGCTCAAGTACTTGTCGGCAATATTGACCTTCTCAGCCTGCACGTAGCCGTTGACCTCAATCACCTCCATGCGGTCCAGGAGCGGCGCAGGGATCGTCTCGAGCACGTTGGCCGTGCACACGAACAGCACGCGCGACAGGTCGACGGGCACGTCCATGTAGTGGTCGAGGAAGGACGAGTTCTGCTCTGGGTCGAGCATCTCAAGCAGCGCCGATGCCGGGTCGCCATTGTGCCCGCGGCCGAGCTTGTCAATCTCATCAATGAGAATCAGCGGGTTCTCAACCGCCACTTTCTTGAGCGCCTGGATAGGCTTGCCGGGCATAGCACCGATGTACGTCCTGCGGTGACCCTTGATCTCGGCCACGTCGGTCAGGCCGCCGACAGAGAAGCGGAAGAACTGACGCCCGAGCGCACGGGCAATGCTCTTGCCGATCGATGTTTTGCCCACACCGGGCGGGCCAGACAGACAGATAATCTTGCCCTCGACAGTTCCGCGGAGCTTTCCGACAGCCAGGAACTCGAGGATGCGGTCCTTGACGTCCTTGAGGCCATAGTGGTCCTCGTCGAGCACCTTTGTCGCGTGCGCAATGTTGAAGTTCTCAGACGAGTGCACGCCCCACGGGATCTGCGTCAGCCAGTCGAGGTAGTTGCGGGTGACGTTGAACTCGCTCGCCGCTGGCTCAAGGTGCACGAGCTTGTTGAGCTCCTCGTCAAACACCTTCTTGACGCCCTCAGGCATGGCGAGTTTGGACGCCTTCTCCTTGAACCGCTCAACGAGCTTGTCCTTGCCGTCGCTCTCCATCCCGAGCTCCTTCTTGATACCCTTGAGCTGCTCCATCAGGTAGTACTCGCGCTGGCGCTTCTGAATCTTGGACTCGACGTCGCGCGAGATCTTGCTCTGGAGCTGCGCGTTGATAAGCTCCTTTTTGAGGATCAGCAGCGCCTTCTGCAACCGGTCCTCGACGTTGAGCGACTCGAGCACCGACTGGAGGTCGTGGACGTCGCCAGTCGACACAGCCGCCGCAAAGTCGGCCAGCTTGTCGGGCTCGTCAAAGACGTTGGCGGCCGAGTTGGACATGGTGAAGCTGGCAACTGCGTGTGAGCCCGATTTACAATCTCATTTATGCTGCGTCATCGATAAAACTCACTCTGCTCGCGGAAGATGGGTTGGAGCTGCGCAATCTCCTTGAACACGGCGAGGATCTCGCCCATGATCGCGCGCACCACCTGCGAGTCCTTCTTGTACGGTTCGAGGTCAAGGTTGGACACGTTGGTGAGCGAGATCTCGGGCACGAGAGGGTGGAGGAAGCCGATCTGCGAGGTAGGCTTCGAAGGCTCGACGACATCGCCGTCCTCGCCCTCGACCTCGCCCTCATGGAGCGCCTCGCGCGTCTCCTCGACACTCGGCACATCCTTCTCAAACGATGCGACCTCGGCCTCTGCCTTCTCCTCGCTCTCAGCCACCTCGTGTGCGGCGGGCGGCGCGGGTGGTGCCGACGACGGCGTGACGAGCTCGTCGATGTGGATCCGGCGGTGAGGGTAGAGAACGGCAGTGAGCGTCTCGGGCTTGTCGGGATCTTCGTTGTCCGGCTGTCTGTTCTGGTCGGCGCTCGAGAACACGCTCGTGATCTGCGCGAACACGCCGACGGGGTGCACCTGGTCCATGCTGGTGATGACGTCCGAGTCCGAGTCCGAATCCTTGAGCAAGAAGGCGCCGATGTACGGCTGGCCATGGGTAATGAGCTCGCGGATCGCCTTGATGACCGCCGGAGAGGTGATAGTCACCGCCTTGTAGAAGCCGGGGAAGAGGGGACGGCGGGTGATGGGCAGAGCGAGGACCTGGGGGTACACGTCGGGGATGGAGGGCTTGGCAATCTCCTTGCTGCCGCCCTTGCCGCCGGGTGGTGGTGTGCCGCCCGATCCCTTGGACGACGACATGGGAGCCGAAGTGCCAGAACTAGACGATGACTTGGCGCGCACCTCGGCGGCCTCGCCCTCCTTGCCTGCCTTGTCCTCCTTGGCCACACCCCGCTTCTCCTCTGCCTCTTTACCTTCCTCAGCCTCGACGGCCTCCTCGGCAGCCGCCTCGCCCTCCTTGCCCTCCTCGTCTTTCTCTTTGGCGTCCTTGTCTTCTTTGAGAGCGCTGTTCACCCATCGCTTGTCCTTGAAAGAAGCGCGCGTGGCGTGCAGTGCGCGCGAGAGGGACGGGCGCGAGTGCTGGAGGTAGTCGGATGCCAAGCGTGATGGCCCCGCCACTGGTGCGGCAGTGGCGGCGCGGAGGGCCGCGGGCGCAGCGGCGGTCAAGCGCCGTGGAGCTGATCGTGCAGCAGCCCTAAACGGCAGCATGATAAATTGTCTAGTCGGTGTAAATTGTAGAGTCCAGGTCTAGAATGTGTGCTAAGTGACGTTGGGAGCGATGAAAGAGCCAAGGAGAGGGGTATTGTTGCGAGCAAGATGGTTTGGATGAACGCTTGGTCATTGACGGACGACATGTCGGAGCCTCCACCTCGCAGTCATGCAGTCACCCAGGGTGCAGGCAAGGTGGCACCTCGGCTCGAGCCAGGCCGCCCAGGCCGAAAGCCCTTCGACTATAACGGAACCTATTTTCCCCCGCCTCCACCGAATATGCTAGTCGTTACGAGGTGCATGCCCAATGTCCTGTCTTCTATCGACCACTACCACTTCTTCCAGTCTACTACTCATGAGCTATCATGCCCCCGCCACGCAAGCATGCTGGGGGGAACCGCAAGCATTATTGTTTGCAGGGGGGTTACGGAGGATGAGCTCAAGTCGAGCGAGAAAAATGTGTAGTCACAAAAGCAAAAGTAAAGTGTTCAGATTGATCGCGTGGCGCAAACCTCGGGGTTCGGTATATCGGCCGAAACAGGCACAAGATAGTCGTTGCTGGATCGCCGGTCATCACGTGGATCGGCGAAGCAGGCGGTTCCGCATCTCGAGACCAGCCTGCTCGCGCATGCGGCGGTCCTCTTCGTCGTCCTCGTCGTCCTCGTCGGAGTCGGGCTCACCGCTGAACACAATCACGTCACCCTCAGACTCCTCGTCTGAGTCCTGCTCTGCAGCAGGGGTGCAAGTGATGATGGGAAGCGATGGGACAGATGATGCAGCGGACACGACCGATGCCACCGACTCGGTGGGCGATGTGGGCGAGTAGCGCAACTGCGACTGCGAGGGAGGAGTAACAACGAGCGTCACGCCACCAGCACGGTTCGGCGAACGAGTGGGGGTGGCGGGCGTTGCGGGGAGCGAAAACTGGCGCCAAGTCCGCTGCGTCGATTGCTGGGTAGGAGGCAGGGAGCCTTGACGCGAGGTGCGGAAGTACGGCAAGGCCGGGAGCTCGTCAAGGTCGTCCACTTCGCCATAGACGGGTGGCATGGACCGGGGACGAGCCAGACGGCCGTTTGTACGCTCGCGAAGGAAGGGCGCAAGACGCGACGAAGGGCTGTCAGGCGTCATTGGACGGCGAGGGGCGACAAAGTCAAACGTTGTCATCTCGTCCGTCGGCGTCTGTGGGCCCTCCGAGTCCTGCGAGTCGATCGAGTCGCTGCGGCTCCCGCCCATGCGGTGCATCTTGGCCTGGATCTGGGCCAGGCTTGGAAGACGGCCATTGGGGCGGTATACAATGGTGGCCTCGGCGGCGCGCAGGGCGTCCGACTGCGTGCGAGCATGCGCCACGGCAGCTGCTTGCTTCTCTGCCTCGATTGCGAAGTCGCGGCCCGAGAGACGCGGAAGGGCGCGGTGGAGTTGGCCCATGCTAAAAAAGGCAGTCTCAGGGGACGGGTTAGCAGACTTGGTTGTGAGGATGACCTCTTGCGCGAAATCGTAGTGGGACAAGTCGGGAGATGAAGTGAGAGCTGGTAAAGAGTTAGCGGAATGACGAGCGTGGTCGTGTATCAAAGAAACGTACAGCTCTCACGCTCACGACGCTCCTTGGCGTGCTCGACCAGTTGCCAAAGTGGACGGCCGGTGAAGCTGCCTGCGCGTCTCGACTTCTGTCGGGGCCAAGTGCCGGTTGTGGACGCATCCCACAAGTCGGCAGATGATTCGAGCGCGGGAGCGTCCATGAGGTCGGCCATTGATGTGTGTATCTTGGATGGCGAGTTGGGGCCCGAGCTCAGGGCGGCCTCGGCGACCGACAAGGCGACAGTGCGAAGCGTGTTGTGAGAGTCGGGAGAGGGAGAGGGAGAGTCCCACAAGGGCTGGAACGTGAGAGGGAGAGACACGGCGGCCATTATTGGGGGCTTGTCGTGCGTGGATAATAAGGTAGAGGAGGTGAGGGTGAGGTTTGGGGGGAAATAGCGTTCAGGATTATTGACTGTGAGGCGAGACCAGCTCGAGGTTTAGTAGACGATGGGAGTTGATGGTTGCTGCCTTCGAGGCGGAGGTTGCCAGAACCTTTGTGTGCGGTTGTTGGGTCACTACTGTCACCTGTCGCCGGGAGCAGGGCGAGTGGGTGGCGGGGGTTGGGAACGCTTGAATATCGAAACAACTCTACTGGAGAGCCGTGTCAAAGTGAACGAAAAGGATGCGTTGGGTTGTTGAACTGGACTGGGAGTGTGTGAGCGAGAGGATTGTGGCGGGGGGTTGATGAGGAGTGTGGGGACGACTAGAGAGAAGAGAGAGAGGGGAGGCGGGGTAGGAGGGAGAGAGGGGGAGGGTGGTAGCGGAGTAAGAGTTGAGGAGAACGGAGGAGAGTATGTTGATAAACCGACTAGCGGCGCGAGATGAGACGGGACGGGATGGGACAAGAAGAGGGAGGGAGAGAGAGAGAGAGAGAGAGAGAGAGAGGAGGAGAGAAGAGGAAAGCTAATGCCTCTGTTTTGTGCGGTGCAGCGAAGAGTGGATGGAGGGGGTTAGAGGGAGAGTGTGTTGTGTGTCGAGAAAGACAAGTCAAGAGATCGACAACACTACGGGGGGCGAGACGGGAGAGAGCGAGAGAGCGAGAGAGCGAGAGGAGGGCGCGAAGAGGGCGCGACTAGTGAGAAGGAGGAGCGAGCGACAAGGAGCGAACGCGAGCGCAACGGCCGCCACTGAGGGACTGAGAGGAGTGCCACATTCCAGGAGACGGAAGGCCTCCAGCCACTCTTGATCCATTACGGCCGAGGGGGCCAAGCGATTGCGAGTAAGAACGCACGGACGCGGCGGCCAACAAGCAAAGCCCGTGGATGGACACACAGAGGTTCAGAGGGCAGCAGCGGTCCGAGCGTGTCAAGTAATGACAGCCAGAGTAGACAACAAGCAGAGCCTTAGCCCTCGCGGCGCGGCGCGGAGGAGGCAGAGTGACGGCCGCCGCTATAACGGCCCGTCAAGTTGACTGCTTCTGTCACCCCACTCCCCACCCTTGCACGTCGTCCTGTGGCCTGTGCACAACGGCGCTCTGGATCTCTGGCTTGATCGGCTTGCGGTTGCCAGCTTGCCAGCTTGCCAGGCTGCAAGATCAAAACCCTCTAGCTCCTCTCTGCTTGATCTGGCTCCTCCTGGGAATTTGGCAGGTTGGCACATAATGACCTCCTTGCCGCCCTTGTCGATCCACACGGACCGCCAATTCAACCTCGGACGAGGCCCCCCGCGCCCCCCCCCCATCGCCCATTCTCATCATTCCTCCATCCTCAATTGCTCAATTCCTCAAAGCCACAAAGCAAAAGAAAAGCCACCTGATCCGGATCCCGACGCCGACGCCGACGCCATGACTTACCAAACGCGCACAACTCGTTCTGTCTCTCTTGTGAACTCGAATTTGCTTCCGACGGTCGCGAATGATCAATGGCTGACTTGCGGCCTGCAAAAGGCAAAGTGGGGGGCAGTCGACGGGGGATGATGGCTGGGGATGTCACCGGTGGTCGACAAGTCGAGAACGGTCGGGGATAGGAGAGTGAGTGTTGTGGGCTAGGGGATTGTCGGAGGAGGGATGGGGTCGAGGGGGTCGAGGGGGGCGAGCAAAAGAAAGGACGGCCCTCGGGCCAGATTGTCGAACGAGTGAAGGAGTAACCAGAGTCGAGGCAAGTCGAGAGTGGAGTGTGTGTATTTGAGAAGGCGCCTTGTTGATCCAGCAACTTTGGGCCGTTGTTGTTGAGGGAGAGAGGAGTGTCGAGAAGAGAAGAGCGACGAGAAAGAGAACGGAGATGTCGACAGAAGAGGGAGGTGGGTGATATGGGGCGAGTGCCCTGCTGCTCCATCGCCATCACCCAGCAGCGAGCAGCCACTGCACCCTGACACCCCCCCCCCCCCCCCAGAGCCCAAGAGGGGAAGTCTGACAAGTGAGGATCACTTCTTCAAGGGTTGCGGGAAGTGAAGGGCCAAGGAGCGAGGGGGAGGGCAGGGAGTCTGCAAGGTCTGCCAGGGAGGCTACTTCGGGCCTGCAGGGGCGGGGTGCAGGCTGAACACGCGACAGGCTTCACTAGGGTCTGTCAGAGGGATTCCGGAACAAACCCTAAAAGGGAACAAGGGCGTTCCGAAGGACACGGTATCAGACAAGAGGGGACAGATAGGGCTTCCATCCGACAGGTACCCTGCTTATTCCCTGCTGTCCGATTCAAATCATCGCGCTATCCCCGATATGCCCAACCTTTACCCTCATACCCTTACTTCTAATCATATCGCAGCCAATAATAGCCTTTTGCAGCCAACGCCCCCGCCCGACGCGTTCCAAGTCGCGTGGTCGTGCCTGTTTCCTCTTGAGGCGTCGTTTTAGTGGCAACCCCGTATCAGCTTGCAGTTGACGTGCTGTACTGTACATGGGGTGAGTTTGACCGCGTGCAGTGCTGTATACGTGTAGTGCAGATGACCCATTACTTACTTACCCCACCAGGCGCGCCAGGCCACCAGCCTCCCTCCAGGCCTCTCCAGATTACCAGAAGTCGCGTAATAAGATAGGTAATGTCCCTGACGCGCCTCACGACGAGCGACGAGGAGCGAGCAGCCCATGAATGTGACTGACACTGAGACACGCGTGCGTGGACAATAAAGGTACGGCATATCGCCCATCACCCATCTCATGAGACGCGTCGAGGATTTTTGGCTTCTAAATCAGGCTCGGCACATGAAGGACAAGGATGCAAAGGAGGCGCAGAAGCACAGAGCGATCCGTGTCGCGCGCGCCGTGCTGTGCAGGGAAGGCACTCGCCAATCGCCAACCGCCAATCCGCCAATCCGCCAATCTCACCCTGTGTCCTGTCCCCGCCGTTTCATCCTAGCACCACTCTTCTACTGTCCGTAGCTTCCAAGCTTGCATCTCATCATCTCATGTACAGTATCTCTCTCACTCACGATCACTCAATTGCTCCACATCTCTCGACACATCACGTACTTTACAGGTCATCTGCACCTTCGGCCCCCACTTCTCACTCCGTACTCTGATCGACTCTCCAAGCTCCTCCATGCAGCCACCCATGCCTCAAGCCTCTTCCCAAGTTTACCGCGCTTACGACTGCTTATTACCTGCCACTCTCCTTTTAACTGTGGCCTGCCACACCACGTACACCACATCACACCCTCGTAATCCCCCACCATGTCCATCGGCCGCCAATGCGCATGCATCCAGGCCAGACCAGCTCGCTCATACACTTCCCCTTGCCAGCCATCTCTCCTGACGCTGTTCCTGGCTCCAGGCTCGCGCTCGCACTCGCACTCGCGCTCACCCTCGTACTCCCTCTCCATGACGCCGTACGCCGGCTGCGGCGGAAGCCGAGTCAAGGCCTGATGACCTGATGACCATGGTACTGTGCAGGGGCGCGGCAGGACGGCATACGGCGGCTCCGACCCTGTGGGACGTTCCGCTAACGTGTTCTGTAATCTGCAGAAGGGTTGAGCCGAGACTCAAGCTGGCCAGCTGCCAGGGGCCAGTGTGCATCTCTGTCACCGTGGGAAAGCTAGCCGATCACCCAGCCGATGGTGGCGGCGATCTCAAGATCCAGCTTCACTGCCTGATCTGCACTGCTCGCCATCTCGCGATCGAGATGCAACATTGCCCATTGCCCATTCACATTCATGCATTCATTCATACATCGGTAGATGTTCTGAGATCTGAGATCTTGTTGACATCGTCGTCAACAGCCGCATTTCTCGCTCGCCAAGCCAGCGCTACTTTCGCCGTCTCACATGCTCTTATGTAATCACGCGCTGATATCGCGGTTTGATCCCGCTGCCATGTGTCATGACTCACCCTCGGCCTCTAATCTCCGGATATCCAACATCGGCTGGCTGAGAATGCAGCACAAATCGCTCGCAACGCCACCCACCGTTCCTCTTCATCAGCCTCATCTTGCCCATCCAGCGTTATAAATTCATGCCATCCATGCTCATGCTCCTCGTCCCGCACATCCACTCACTCTCTCCAAGATGGTAACCATCCCCACTCACCTGCCGACGGCCTCCCTCGTCGTCGGTAACATGCACTGCCCCAGCTGCGTGGAGAGCATTACAAACCTCCTCGCCGCCCTTCCCTCCGTCAAAAACCTCAGCGTCTCTCTTCTTCTCCACCGCGTAACATTCGCCATCGACACGAGCATCGGGAGCTCGCGCGTCCCTACCAGTGTCGACCGCGTCGTCGAGCAGGTCGCGCACACACTCAAAAGCGAGGGCGGATTCGAGGTCGCCACTGAAGGCGGCGATGTCGAGCCTACGCCGGCGGCCACGGGCGGCCTGCTAGACAGGGTGTTTGGCAAGCGGCGCGCCGACAAGGCGTCCAAGATCGCCGAGGAGCGCCGCCGCCGACACCTGGAGCACTGCGAGGCGTGCCAGGCTGAGGAAGCGGGCGAACGCCACCCGTCGTCCACCTTCCCCGCTCCGCCTCCCGACCAAGTCCTCGTCACCACTCTCAGCATCGAGGGCATGACCTGTGCCTCGTGCACGTCGAGCATTAGCAAGGCCCTCGAAGGCGAGCCCTCGATCCTCAGTGTTGAGGTCAACCTTCTCTCATCGTCCGGCACGGTTCGGCACAAGGCTTCCCTCTCCGCCGACGAAGTGGCGGCGATGGTGGACGATGTCGGCTTCGAAGCTGAGGTGCTCGAGAGCCGGCCAGAAGCGCCAGAGAGAGCGGAAGAGGCGCTGATCAAGACCACTCTCTCGATCGAAGGAATGACGTGCGCCTCGTGTTCCGGCGCGATCGACCGTGCTGTCCGCAAGCATCCCGATGTCACGGACGCCGCCATCGACGTCCTCCTCAACAAAGGCGTCTTCACCCACCGCCCAGCCCTCACGCCTGAGGCGCTAAAGGATATCGTTGAGGACGTTGGATATGACGCCACCATCGTCTCCTCCGCCCTCCTCGAGCGCAAAGGCGTGCCCGGCTCGCGCACCGTCACCGTCGGCGTGCAGGGCATGTTCTGTGGCCAGTGCGTGATCAAGATCAACAATGCCCTTGCCGCCATGCCCCTCCTCTCGTACACTCCCATCACGCTCGCTGCGCCGGTCTCTACACTCACGTACATTCCCCGTGACCCTCTCACTATTCGAGACATCCTGCGGGACCTCACGGCCCTCGCGCCAGAGTTCCACGCTGAAGTCGTTCGTGCCCAGTCACTCTCTGAGCGCTCGCAGGAGATCCAACGCCGCGAGGTCCGCCTTCTTGCCGCTCACCTCGCCGTAGCCGTCTTGTTCGCCATCCCGACATTCATCATCGCCATCGTCTCCATGGTCCTGCTCAAAGCCGAGCACCCCTTCCGCCGCTTCTGGGACCAGCCAGTCTGGGGCGGCGCCAACCTCGGCACAGTTGTCCAGTGGCCGCTCGCCACAGCGGTGCAGTTCGGCGTCGGATGGATCTTCTATAAGCGCGCCTTCAATGCTCTTTGGCCGCACCTTCGTGCCCTAGTCCCCGCCCCTCTTCGGAGCAAGAGCATGCGCCGCCTCCCCGCCCGCCCGCTCACATGGCGCGCCCTCGTCTCCTTCGGCAGCATGGACCTCCTCGTCACTCTCTCCACCACAGTGTCCTACTTTGCGTCTATCGCCATGATGGCCCTCGACGTCAAGGCCGGACCCAAGAGCATGAGCGTCGGGACGTACTTTGACTCGTCCGTCTTCCTGATCATGTTCATCCTGCTTGGGCGCACAATCGAGGCATATGCCAAGAGCCGCACGACTGATGCCGTCGCGCTGCTCGGCAACCTGCGCCCCGCCACCGCCCTCCTTGTGGAGGAGGCCAATGCGGAAGGCGAGAAGCGTTTGAGCACGGACACTGAGGACAGCGGACCGCACGAAGTTCCCGTCGACCACGTCGAGTACGGCGACGTGATTCTGATTATGCCTGGCTCGCTCCCTCCGACTGACGGAGTCGTTGTGTCGGGCACGTCAAAGTTTGATGAGTCGAGCCTGACGGGTGAGAGTCTCCCGGTGACCAAGAATCCCGGCGACGAGGTATACACGGGGACGACGAACCAGACTTCGGCGATTCACGTGCGTGTGACCGGCCTCGCTGCGGAGACGATGCTGGAGCGTATTATCCAGGCCGTGTCCGACGCGTCGGGGCGAAAGGCGCCGCTGGAGAAGGCAGCCGAGCGCCTTACGGGCGTCTTCGTCCCCCTCGTCGTTTACTTTGCCCTTGGTGTCCTGGCGTTTTGGATGGGCATGGTCTACGGTGGCCGCATTGCGCCGCACCACTACCACGGGCCAGGCGGGCGTGCCTTCTTCGCCCTCGAGTTCGCGATCGCTGTCCTTGTTGTGGCATGCCCGTGCGGTATCGGCCTCGCTGTTCCATGCGCCAACGCGGTCGGAAACGGGCTTGCGGCCGCCACGGGTATTCTTGCCTCGGGCGGCGGCGAGGCATTCACCGCCGCCACGGCTGTCACAACGATTGCGTTCGACAAAACCGGTACACTTACTACGGGGCAGAGCACTGTGACGGACGAGTATGTCCCCGAGACAGAGCTGGGCGCGGAGGTCACGCGCGCACTTCGGGCGGTCGAGGCTCAGAGCACGCATCCGCTTGCTGTAGGCCTCGCGTCATACCTCTCCGCGCAGTCCTCTGCTGCGCTCGAAGTAGTCGAAAGCACAGAAATCGCCGGGCGCGGCCTGCGCGCCACGGTCGCGGGCGAGCGCACCCTCGAGCTCCTAGTCGGCAACGCCGCTCTCCTCACTGAGAACAATGTGGACATTCCCCCTTCTGCCGAGGAGACGCTGGCTCAGTGGAGCACGGACGCCAAGTCGGTCGTGCTGTGTGCTGCGCGCCCCGCTGGTGCAGGCAACCCATTCGTCCTCACCGCCATGTACGCGCTCGCGGACGCGCCGAGGGAGAGCACGGCGGGCGTGCTTGCCCTGCTCCGGCAGCGGGGATACCGCGTCGTGATGCTGAGCGGGGACAACGAGGTCACTGCGCGTGCGGTGGGCCGCCTCGTGGGCATCACCGCAGAGGACGTGCACGCCGGCGTGGGGCCACAGGGCAAGGCAGCGGCGATCGCGGAGATGCAGGTACGCCGCGTTGCTCCCCGCATCGCCCTCGGTCCCCTCAAGCTCGGGCGCAAAGAGGTCGTCGAGCGCGTCATGTTCGTCGGCGATGGGCTGAATGACGCGGTCGCGCTCGCGGCCGCCGACGTCAGCGCCGCCATGGGGCACGGATCGCAGGCGACGCTGGCGAGTGCGGATTTCGTGCTCCTCCGCTCCGACCTCGCTGCCCTCCCGAAACTGCTCCGGCTCAGCTGCAAGGTACGCAACCGCCAGTGGTTCAACCTCTTCTGGGCTATGATCTTCAACACTGTGTTCCTGCCTATTGCTGCGGGTGTGCTGTTCCCTGTTGGCTTCACGCTGTCGCCGGTGTGGAGCGCGGTGCTGATGGCGTGCAGTAGTATTAGTGTCGTGCTGTCTAGTCTTGCCCTGCGCTGGGGCCTGTAGGCTCGTTATGTAGCGTAAGATGAAGTGTTAGTACAATGGAGCAGCAGGAAGCGTTCGCTCGTAATGGTACATCAAGCAATGTAAACCCGCGCCCGCCTACAACATACACACCCGCCAAGTACACCTACGCGCTTTCCATGAACCCCCGGAACAGCTCCTCCCACCCGTCCCACGAGCCCTGGGGGCACGCGGGCGGGCTCTGGCCCCTCTCGTCACTCCACGCATGCTGAGGCTCGTACGCCGGCGGATCGCGCAACCGCGTGATCCGCTCGATTCGCTGCGCCCTGCGGGCACGCACAACCCGCCTCACCCTCTCCAACACGGCGAGGGCCGCGCGCGTACGCGCCCCGCGGCGCGCCGCACACGCGCGCAAACTCTCCAGCGCGCCCTCCAGAACGTCGAGATCATGCACGCTCCCGCGCCCCGCGAGCTCGGCATACGCGACCGCCATGCCGGCGGTATACGCGTGGGCGGCGTACGCGCACTCGCCGCGCGCGACGAGCTGCGCGACGCCGGCGGCCAGCGCGTGCGCGGCGCCCACGGCGCGCGCGAGCGGATCGATCCCTGCCGCGAGGAGGCGCACGCGCTCGTCCCCCACCACAAAGTAGGGCCGGTAGAGGCGCACGATGGCGTCGTGGATTTCGATGCGCGAGATGAGTCCCGGCACGCCGGCGGCGCCGGCACGCGCTGCGAAAGCGTCGATGGCCGCGTGGGCGGACGCCAGGCGCGCCGCGAGCGCGCCCCCCCTCATCGTCTCCGATTGCGCGCAGAGGAGGTCCGCCCACGCGACGCGCGACGCGGCGAACGCCCACCCGTCGCCCGAGGGCGGCGGCACGGGCGGCCGCTCGCACGGCAGCGCGAGGCGCGCAGCCGCCGTCCTGCCGTCAGCAGAGCTAGGCGAGACTCACGCATGCACAATGTGCAGATGGTACCATGTACGCCGGGCGGTCTCGCCGTCGTCGTGCGCGAGGAAGAGCGCGGAGCGCGCAGCCCCCGCCGCGACGTACGCGCGCGCCGGGCTGTCCTCCGCCTCCGCAGCCGCGGCGAGGACGGATGCGAGCGCATACGCTGCGTCGTGTGGGCCCGAGGCCGTGCAGTGCCGCAGCAACGAGTCCGTGAGGCGCCGGAGGGCGGAGGTCGGCCGCTCTTCCGCCGCCGCGCCGAGGAAACACATGGCCGCGCGGAGGGCGAGCCCCGCCGCGTCCTCCCCCGGAAAGAGGTGGGCCGGCACGTACCCCCACAAGCGGTTGAGCGCGTCGAACGCCGCGAGGTGCGCGGCCTCGTCGGGCGGGAAGAGCGCCGCGAGCGCCGCTAGCTCGGCTGCCCCATCGCCCTCGCCTACACCGTCGGCGTCGGCGTCCACTGCGCCATCGACGTCGTGCGTCGGCACGCCGTTCATAGCGTGTACGGCGCGCGCGTCGAGCCCGCCCAGCGCGGCGTACGCGCACCCGTCGCGCAGGCCGGCGCGGTCGCATGACGCGCAGGGATGTGCGCGGTCGCAGCGCAGCTTTAGGCGGCGGCAGCGGCCACACACGCGCGTGGCGCGCAGCCGGCGCCGCTTCTCGGGGGCTGACATGAGGCGAGAGGACAGAGTGGCGAGAGACGAGAGATAAGATGCAGAGGTGGCGTCGGGGTTAAGTGGGAGGCATGGTATCTGATAAGTGGTTGGGGAGGGTGAGCAGATGGGCTGAACCCAACCGGGCTACCGGGCCGGAGTTGGCCGTAGGTCTTCATTTGCTCGCTCAATATGTATTCGGCCGTCATGAGCGATGCCGGCAATCAGAGCGTGCACATCAGCATCTCCCTACATCCGCTATCCCAAGTTTGGGCAAGATAGCCAGTGCGGCTCCGCATCTGCTGCGTCGCGTCTGCTGCGCCTCAACGAGGAGCGATCCTCCATTAATGACCTCGTCCCAATCGTTCAGGCATGGCCCAGTCCAACTCGCCTTGCCTGTTTAGCCTCCGGGTGGCCTCTGCATTCCAGCTGTGAACATGGAAACGGCAACCGCGTCGGGTGCACTGAGGACTCCGACTCCAGTACAAATCCTCGAGTACGAACCTGAGCAGTAGCATGAACCGGAGCAAGACTATGAAGGAGTAGAAACAGGTGAAGGAACAGGAGAAGGAACAAGCAATAGCCAACAACCTGTTTCGTCCTCAACCGTTCACACAACCTGGCATCTGCCAGACTTAGTGTGTAGCTCATACGGCCCGAGACCTCCCTTGCCGCCTAACTTGGGGTCTGACGCAGACTCGCTTGGTCATGCCTAGCCAACGACTCCGCCGCTTCCTTTAGCTATCGCCGTCTCCAGCCGTACGCGCTCAGAGACACGAGGCTCACAACCCCGCGCACAGTCAACACCCTCCGTATCACCCACCGCCCTCTGGTTCACACTTTTGTGCATTGACCAAGATTCATCACTGCTGCGCATCGTAATGATACTTTGGACTTTTTCATTTCCAATGTCAAATTTAAGACTTCCATCTAATTTTTCCCATCATTGCTCTAAGCACGTCTGCATCATGTCTAGGCACATCTGCACCATGTCTAAGCACATCTGCATCATGTCATAAGCTTCGCGTTCAAACGGCGCAGCTCCTGCGGCGTGAATCGCAGAATCACACTCAACACGCGGACGAGGTTTGGCCGCATCTCGCGGTGCTCGAGGAACTGGAGGATGACGTTGCGGAGGTATTCGAGATTCACCTCCTCCTCTTCTGGTTTTGGCGAAGCGGGCGACGCGGGCGTCTGCGCGCCGGACGGCGAGCCCGACCCCGACGGCTGGGGCGAGGGCTGCGCCTGGCCCTGGCCCTGGTTGTTCTGGGTCTGGGCCCAATACCCGACGCCGGGGCCGCGCTGCCGCTCGAGCAGCTGCGCGCTGCTCTGGACCTTGCGCAGCTCGTCGCGCAGCGTGCGGTTCGCGGCGCGCATGCGCTCCGCGGCGGCCTTGGCCTCTTCGAGCTGCGCCGCGACGCTAGCAGCGCCACCTTGCGCGGTGGCGAGCTCGTCGCGCGCCATCCGCTCCGCCTCGGCTGCGAGCGCGACGTCCGCGCGCGCCGCCTCGACTTCGGCGCGCAGCGAGCCCATCTGGCGCTCGAGTTCGCGCCGCGCCGCGTCCGCCGCGTCCAGGCGCGCATCGCGCTCCCGGCGCGCCTCGGCGGCGCGCGCCGCCTCGCCCTCTTTCGCGCCTAGCGCAGCGCGAAGCGTCTCGAGCTCGCGCACACGTTGCGCCAGCTTCGCCGCCCAGTCCTCCTCAAGCTCGGTGCGTTCGCGCTCCAGTGCCCGCACTCTTGTTTTCAGCTCGGAGATCTTGGCCTCGGCGCGCGCGTCCGCGTCCGCCAGCAGTCGCTGCACGTCCACCGCCCGGCTTGGGGACGGGGCGCGAGACGGCGGCGCCGAGCGCCGCGGCGCATCCTCCAGCAGCGCGAGCTGCTCGCGCGCCTCGCGCAGCTGGAACTCGAGCTCGTTCGTGCGCCCCCGCAGCGTCTCCAGCTCGGCTCTGGCGCCCTCGGCCTCCGCTTGCCGCGACTGCAGCGCCGCAAACTGCTCGCTCGTCTTCGCTGTGAGCTCCTTCACGCTCGCTTCGAGGGATGTGATCTTGGTTCTCTGGGCACTCAGCTCCTTCGCGTGCGCCGCCTTGGTCGTGATCATCTCCAGCTCCCAGGCGCCTTTGCGCGCCGCGAGCTCCTTGTCCGCGCGCTCCTTTGCCGACGAGAGCTCCCGCTCGAACCCCTTGCGAAGGTTGGTGACCTCACGCTCCTTGTCCGCCTTTACCCGCTCGACTTCCTCGAGCGAACGGGTGCGATCCGCACGGGCTTCGGCGAGCTCGCGCGCCATCTCCTCCTTCTCACGCTCAACTTTGACGTTCTTTTGCCGCACCGTCTTGAGTAGAGAGATGGCCTTTGTCCGCTTCTCCTCCTCCTCTTTGGCAGTTTGTTGCGCCTTGAGCAGCTCAGACTTCAAGGAGCCTAGCTGTACAAGGTCCCCGGCCTTGGCGTTGAGGTTGTTTTCAGCGACTGAGAGTTGCTGTCGCAGATTCTTGATGAGGTCAGTCTGCGACGTGCCCTCAAGGCGGTGCGTGTCGCGCAGCTCCTCCATGCGGGAGTTTTGTACTAAAATTAGCACGATTCCGTAGACGCACTCACATGCCACCTTGTCTCTCATCCGCTTGAGCTCGTCATTCATCATGTCGACCTTGCCCGTGACCATGCGAACCCACCCCTCGAGCGCATCTGGATCCGCGATGTTGTCGAGTGGTGTGAACTCCTTGAAAACCTTGTTGGCTGCGTGTGTTTGCGTGAGGAGTTCAGTGTAACGTCTGGAGAGGTCTGGTGTGAGTAGGCAGGTGTGGAGATTCTCACCTTCGAAGCGCCGCTCTGAGTCAGCGAGGCGGGCTGTGGCGTCGTCATCGGCAGTAGTAGTGGACTCTCCGACGGCGGCAGCAGCCACGGCGGCTGGGTCGGCGGTGGTGATCTTGGAGGAGGCGGGTGCGCTCTCCACGAGCTCCTGGACTGATGGCCCGGCATGGGGTGTGGTATCGGGCGTGGCCTCGGGCGTGGCTTCGGAGGGCTTAGGCTTGGCCTCGAGGTCGTCGGGGGTCGTGGTCTTGACCTCTGGTGCAGTATCGGGCGCGACATCACGCTGGACCTCTGGCTGGTCCCTGGGATCCTCGACTTCGACCTTGGGCTCTTGCGGGGCATCAGCCTCGGGCACAACCTGCGCCTCGGCCATGAGCTCGACTTTCGCTTCAGGCTTGGGCTCGACCTCGGACTCGGCCTCGGCCTGCCCCTTGCCCTTGACCTCGGCCTTGATCTCCTCCGCCGCCTTCTCCTCCTTCTCCCTTCCCTTCTCCTTCTCCGCAGCAGCCGCGGCAGCAACCGCCGCCGCCGCGCCCTTCTTCTTCTTCTTCTTCTTGTTCTTCTTCGTTGGCGCCGGCGCCACAGCCTCCTTGTTCTCGGCCTCGGAATCGGGTGCTTCCTCCGGTATGTCGGCAGGAGCGGCTTCAGCGGGTGTTGCGGCGGGTGTGTCTGCGGGCGGCCCCGACGACTCTGGGAGCTTGGCCGGAGTCTCCGCGGGTGTATCGGGTACGGACGGCGGATCCACAGCTACAGCGGGGGCGGGCGCGGCGGGCTCAGCTTCTGGCGGCTTGGCGCCCTGTGAAATGCCCTTCTCTGCTCCCCCGGACTGCGCGCCCTCGCCCGCGCTCTTAACCTCGACTTCCGCGTCATTCGCGCCGAGGCCGGAGAAGCTCGCGCTGCGCGCGACGGCGGGCGGCGCGTCCCGCCCCAGATCGACGGAACTCGGGCGCCCGTCGAGGCTCGTACGCAGAAACCCCTTTCTGAGCCCCGCTAACGCGCCTTCCGCGAGATGCGATGCGCTGACTGGAGACGTGGAGGGTGTCGGGCTAGGCGCACCTCCGCTGGCACCGCCGGCTCCAGCTCCGGTTCCGGCGGCACTCGCTCTGGCGTTCGCTCCGCTGGCTCCGGCGCCGCCGCTGGCGCTGGCTGCGCTGGCGCTGGCGCTGGCTGGGCTCGCTGCGCTCGGTGCGCTCGCTCCGCTCGCGCGCGGCGTGCCCGGCCGCGACGGGCCCGGACTCAGGCTCTGCGCGTGCGCGGCTTGCGCGGCGCTCAGCGCGCGCGCTTGCAGCGACGAGCCGGTCGCCTCGAGCTGGGTGACGGCGGCTTTGAGGCGGTCCGAGAGGCTCACCCCGCTGAACATGGTGTGGGCGATGATGAGGTCCGTGGAGGGTGGGATGGAGATTGCCGGTGCGGCACGTGGCCTCCACCGCACGTTTGGTATGTTGGGAGAACGGGGGGGGTTTAGGATCGGTGATCTAGATAGAGTATCGGCCGAAGCTGTGCGAAGCTGGCGACCGCGTCAATGTTCACACCACTCTATCCACCATGAGAGTCGACGACAAGAAAAAGTTTTGGGTGCTCGCGGCTGTGAGTGTGCATAGATGGGATGAGGGTGGGTGTGGGCGTGGGTGTGGGCGTGGGTGTGGGTGTGGGTGAGGGGGAAGTGGCCACCGCCGGTGTCGAGCAGCGCAAGGCGGTAGCTGCAGGAATTGGTTCTGACGCCAGGTTATCTTGGGCTTTACACTCAAGGGCCTTTTGTGGCTGGGCCTCGGCGGTGCCATCGTGGCCGGCTGGAGACGCTGGCGGCGCCGACCGGACGGCGATGTCCTCGTCGAGGGCTCGGGGCCGAGCGAGCGCCAGGCGCTGCTGGACGGGGACGGGGACCGGGGTGAGCGGGGGGACGCGAGGCAGGTAGTCTAGAGGGACATGCAGTGCGGAACGTATAGAACGATCAGAAGGCGGACGGAGTCGATGTGGATATCTGGTGGCATGCGGAAAGAAGGCGGGAGGGGTGGTGTGGGCTGTGTTGACGACATCATGTGCTCATGCTGACAGTATAGTAATCTGTGAGCCCGCGAGTGGCCTGAAAGCGTGAGGAAAGCAGATGGGTCTGCGCAATATTGTGGGCTTGCATGCTTAGCACATGCTCATGTATTTACGAAGGTGCCGAGACCGAAACTGGGTCGAGGTGAAGCTGCCCGAGGGCACTCTGAGGAGAGGGGAGAGAGTGGTGGAGAGAGAGAGAGAGGAGAGTTCTGCGGTTCATCCGATGAGGTGGAGTCGGTGACGCAGTGGTCTACAGGACATCTCCATCTCCATGTCACTCAAGTAAGCTGAGACAGGCGGCCGCTCTCAGCGTCTCAGTCGATCCCATCGATCGACAGACCTATCCTGGTTTGCAGTTTCTCAGTGCACAATGGGAGGGCTTTGCGGTTACGCCACAGTCATTGACGCGCCACTTCATCTCCACCTGGGCCACAATCGCAACGACCGCCACGACCGCCACGACGGCCATGAGCACGCCGTGAGCCTTGAGGGTTTGACCTGATGGGCTTGAGTGATCGCCGCCACCGGCCACGCGAGACGGAAGCAGATCGACGAAGCCGCGACACGCGAGACCGCGCTGGTTTCCGACCGGATGCACCGGCGCTCCGGGGTGATCATCTACCCTGAGGCCCTGAGGGACCCTGGTGTTCGGGATGGATCTCTCCTTCGAGGGCGTTCTGCGGCGCGTCCATTAATCTGTAGGGTGGGAGATGGCATTTGGGGGCCTTCGAGTAGCGTTAGTAGTAGCGTTAGTAGCGTGAGGTGGGGTTAGGTTGCGGTAAGAGCATTGGGTTGAGAGAGAAGAGGCCAGAGGTTAGCGCCCGAGTCTAGGAGAGTTCGGAGGAGACGTGCGCGCGAGGACGCACTGACCGCTGTGGGCATTGGGCGTGCCACGGAGGCGGTGGAATGCGTGCGCCTTGAAGCTAGGAAGAGATGATGATAGAGTTTATACAGCATGCGGTCGAAGCTGTCGACGAGAGAGAGAGAGAGAGAGAGAGCGAGAGCGAGAGCGAGAGCGAGAGAGAGAGAGAGCGGGTGCGCGGGTGATGCCGAAGGAGGAGGGAGATGAAGCACAGTGCGGAGGGCGAGAGAGCCCGGGGATGCCGGGGGCGTCGCAAGGAATACCAGGGAAGGAGTGGCGCGAGTACGTACACCTCTAGGATTCTGTCCATGTCGTCTACTCTCTCATGCACTCTCTTCCCGCATGCCCGTTTCTCTCTCTCATGGTCGTCAGCAAACATTGCACTGCTACTACTGTACTCTTTTCTCTGTCGCTCACTCACTCACTCACTCACTTTCTCATCTCTTTATCTGCATCTAGAGAGAGAGATTCACGACAGCCTGCAGCCTGGTTGCTGTTCGGACGAGACGCACAGACCACCCATCGACCTGGACTAAGCATTCCAACCCCTTGTTCTCCCTCAACTCGCCTCTCTTGCTCCCCTCTTTCTCCCCTCCCCCAGTTCTTCCATCGTCTCCATCTCAACTCTCCTCTTGATATCTTTCATCTCTCATCTCCTCCTCCTCCTCCTCCTCCTCCTCCTCCTCCTCCT